TTTTACAGCTATTGGCCTAACTGTAACTTTTTTTCAAAATGTTTTATTATAATACTTGTCATTTCTTTCACTTAATATATGTCAATTGTCATAATAAAAAGTTGAAATAAGTTGATGTACTTAGCATTGTGTTTGAAAACTTAGTTTATGTTAAATTTTGTGGCATTCTAGGAAGGTCAGAATTTTCAATAACTGGTTTATAAAGGGTTAAGATGGTCTGTATCACCCAGGAATAGACCATTATTCATGATCTAGAAAGCAAATTTGCAAGTAGATCAACTTCCTCAAGCGAGTTAAGGCTAGTTATCAGCTCGGTCTGTACAAACATGGCAGCACCATTCTTGGTCATGTTACTTGGCCTCTGGAGCTCACATATTACAGAGCCCAGGGTTTTGTTCTGCACAGCTCTCTGGGAGCACAGCTATACTACAAGTCAGCAGCATAGGGCAAAGGTTTTCAGTTCCTCTCCTGGCTGGGGTGTGGTGTGTGTGTGTGTTTGAGGGACCACAAAAGAAACAGAGTGTGAGTCTCATCGAAATTCTTACGTTTTTCTTCTCTTAGAGTACCTAAACTGAAGTTTTGTTTTGTTTTAGCCGGCAAGCTAGCAGCATTCATCGCTACTTGAAATTCTGACGCTAAACTAATGGGTTAACATTTAGGATGTAAAGAATGTAAAGAATGTGAATCAGGATTTCACTTAATGGAATGAATGGTGGCTTACGATAGTAAGAAAATGATCAGTTATATTTACAACTTGAGATTTTTAAACAATTCAGCCAAGTTGTGATAGTGCCCTGGCGGCCTTAACAGTTCAGTATATTTTTAAATCTGTTTTTATTTGATGTGTATGGACGGCTTGTCTGCATGTCCCCGTCAACCATTTGCGTGCATGGTGTCCTTGGAGGTCAGAAGAGGGCATCAGATCCCCTAAACTGAACAGTTGTGAACCATCATGTAGGTGCCTGGAACTGAACCTGGTTCCTCTGGAAGAGCAGCTAGTGCTCTTGACTGCTGAGCAATCTCTCCAAAGCACAGCCCTAAATTCACGGAGTCTTAGCTGAGCGTGGGGCTAGAACATAGCTGTTAACTTTTATCTTAGATTAAGAAATCAGAGCATGGTTTCTTTTAAAAACTAAGGTTTAATTCACTAAATGGCAGTCATTTAGTGGACGTGGAGTTATAATAAAACTATTTTAATGAAATTACATGTTAGCTGTTAGGACCCTTCTGGATAAGGTAAATGCTTATGTAATTTTGACTGAATGAGTTCTTTGCAATTATTAAAAGTCTACATGACAATCAAAAAGAGAACACTAAGAGGATGTGACCTATGTACACGTTAGTGCATACAGTCATATCCTGTAGGAAAAGTTAGCTAGAACCTACAGTACATGTTCACAGTATGGGCCACCTTCCTCTTCAGTAACTCTTGCCCGTTTCCGAGCCACCTGACCTAAATTTCCATCTTCCTCTCTAGCCTGTCTCCAAGAAGACGGCAGCTGCCTGTCGTCTGTGTGTCCTTTACCTGGAAGCAGCTCTCTGTCTGTGTGTCCTTTACCTGGAAGCAGCTGCCTGTCTGTGTATCCTTTACCTGGAAGCAGCTGCCTGTCTGTGTGCCCTTTACCTGGAAGCAGCTGCCTGTCTGTGTGTCCTTTACCTGGAAGCAGCTGCCTGTCTGTGTGTCCTTTACCTGGAAGCAGCTGCCTGTCTGTGTGTCCTTTACCTGGAAGCAGCTCCCTGTCTGTGTGTCCTTTACCCGGTAGCTTTCCTCTTACCTTTGGGTCTTTCACATCTCAGTTCTCTTTTGAGTGTTCCTATGCAATGTTCTTCCTTCAAGGTTGAAAAAAATGGTATCTTTCCATTTAATCTGTCTTCTAATTATATTTTGTTTGATTTTTCAGTGTTTAAAATAAACAGATCATGGAACTGTTAAACTGTACTTAGAAATTCTTACAAAAATAAACTAGTTTCTAAGAGAAATTCCAAGAAACCAACAGCTGAATTCCCTCCTCAGAAACAACTGTTACAGATAGCTGACCTAACAGAAGAGAAAGCCGCTCCCCCCTGGCTTTGTTTTCTGGTTTTCTGTTGAATGGCTGTTTTGTCTGCTCTTTGACGTCTGCTTAGTAGCGGAGCACCTGTAATTATACCATGACCTCTCGAAACAAAACAGATTTTATTCTACTGTAGGGGCCAAACAAAGAACTTAATGATGATAAAATTTCACTAGAACATGTGCCTTGGTTCTAATAGTAATTTTTTCTAGTAACAATGGGTTTGTAAGCTTAATTCTATTACAAAAACTATATAACGCTGTTATCTTTCTAGGCCTGCCAATTGTTTCCAGGTGATGGTTGACATTAAATGCTGGAGTCTGAATCAAAGGACAGGAATAATTACTAGGGCACAGTGGTCCGCTGCAATAACAACACTCAGGAGACATAGGTAGGGGACACAAGTTGGAGGCCAGCCTGGGCTACACAATAAGTGCTAGAAGTCCTCAGCAAGTCACTTCTTCTGATCTTAATTGTAGCTGTAAATGGACTAAACAGCTACCCTGCCTACCCTCACAAAATTACTATAAAGGGATACTGAGTGAGGAAATCATTCTTTTAAAAAGTAAAACACTGTACAAATGTAAAGTGTATGATATCCATAGGGATTTATATGAGAAGCAAAAAATACAAACCTTCCTCTTTCAGTACTTGATGCTAGTCTGTTTGACACATTTGCTTAACCACCTCCTCTGCCTGGTACTATAGTGAGTGCTTGAAGGATCCTTCGCAGAGCTAAGATCCCTTTCTTCAGTTATCATCTTGAATAAAATGTTTTGCCATTGGTCTGTCACTATGTAAAAATGACTAAGACAAGTTGATAAGAAATTATTATATTGCCGGGTGGTGGTGGTGCACGGCCGGGCGGTGGTGGCGCTAGCCTTTAATCCCAGCACTCGGGAGGCAGAGCCAGGCGGATCTCTGTGAGTTCGAGGCCAGCCTGGTCTCCAAAGCGAGTTCCAGGAAAGGCGCAAAGCTACACAGAGAAACCCTGTCTCGAAAAACCAAAAAAAAAAAAAAAAAAAGAAATTATTATATTGGTTTTAGCCAGTTCTCTCCTGTCATACATGGGAATTCCATTTCTGAGCAAAGCACTGGTTATTTCATCAAATAAGTGCCTTAGAGAAAATCTCAAATTAGATTCATAGGCTACTTTTCTTCTTTTTAATACTGGGGATTCAACCTGGGGCCTCACACATGCTGGGCCAACGCTCTGCCTGAACTGTATCTGCTGCCCTTGGAACCAACTCCGAAAACCTCTTTCTGAATTCTCCTACTTAGAAATATAAGGCTGCATCTACCCAGCTTTGGCAACTGGAAATTTAGAAATGATATTTGACCTCTCTTTTTGGGCTGTTCTTGTCTACACCTTCACAAACTCTTCCTCTCAATCTCTATCCAAAGCATGCGGATTTTAACCCTGAGAGAGCTCTAAACCTATCCTCATCCCCACCCTTAGTGCCGCATTCTGTCCCATACCAGGGCAACACCTTCTCGTTCCTGTTCGTGCCTCTCTCCTAGTCTCACTACCAACAAACTAACCAGATTTAAAACCTTAACACTTGGGACTGGAGAGATGGATCAGCCTGTGAGAGCGCCTAGTAACTTCTGTAGAGGACACAGATGGGATCATAGCACCCATGCAGGGTGGCTTACAACTGCCTCTAACTTGAGCTCCAGGAGATCCAATGCCCTCTTCTGGATTCTGTGGGCACCTACACTTACATGCTACACTACACACACACACACACACACACACACACAGTTAAAAAATAAAAATAAATCTTAAAAAAAAAATCCCCAAACTAAAGACTCCTCTGTTGCAAAGATACCAAGAAGAAAAAAAAACAAAGTAAAAGAAAAACAAAATTCTTATCCAATCCTACATGTTATGTCATAAAACAGCCCTAATCCCATAGCTATTACAATTTTATAGTTAAAAAAAAAAAAAAAGTGGAGTCTAGAGATCGGCTGAATTCCATCCACTAGGTCTCTTATTACCGAAGTCTAGTTTGTGAGTTTAATGCCTCAGGTCTCGTGTGTAAAACGGGGTCAGTAATAGAAAACTTGTTCATATTACTTATCATAAAGAAAAAAAAACGTGAATTGAGTGGGTGTGGTGATGCTTGCCTGTAATAGTACTAGTACCCAGAGTAGGATGCAAGTCGATTAGGTATTGGAGGCCAGCCTGGGCAGCATAGGGAAGCCCTGTCTCAAAACAAACGAACCAACAAACAAAAATAACAGAAAGAACCCATGAAGAAATGAAAGTGGAAAAGTGCTTACGCTGTGTGGTACATAGCCCTCGGTTACGGGTGTCTATTTGCTAAGCCTCTAAGTAGTCTTCACTGCTCTTATTCTTTGGGGCCTAGCGAGCAAGCACGTAACTCAAGAGTTCCGGATCAATGGCCACCTTTCCCTTCGGCGCTGTCTTTTGACTGTCTTGCCGAGCTTTCGTTCAATTAATGCAACCTCTTTGTGCTCCTGTGGCGTGACACGGGGGATGGGGCGACGTGAGCACCAAGACGGAGGCCTGGTGAATGGCTGTGTGAACCGGGTGACAACAGGCCCGATGAGACAGGCGGGAGCAGGGGAGAATCGTGCACCCACCCGGGAGACTGCGGACCTCCAGGTGAGTGTGGATTCTATTTTCTGTGTGTGTTCCTCAGGTGAGGGCCTCCCAGGTCCTAGGCCTGTTCCCGCTTTTGCTGGGAAAGGCATAGTATTGCTCATACTCTCGCAGGGTTTGCTGTGATGACCTTGAAACGGAACCACAGCGAAAACACTCCGTGACTCTCAGACTCCTCAGAGGAGCTGGGGAAGGAGGGGGCCGTATCACGTGGCAGAAGCCCGCTCGATCACCACGGACCTCCGGCTCGTCTAGACTGTCCCATCTCTATGGTCAACGGCCGGCCGAATCCTGCGCGGAGGAAGTTGTTCTTCCGGGGTACGGCTACTGCTTCCGGAGCGGCTCAGGCACTCTGGGGTTGTGGGGATCGGCTTTCTCGGGTCCTGCGGACCTCTGCTTTCATCCGCAATGAGCTTCCTCAAAAGCTTCCCGCCGCCTACGTCGGAAGACGGGCTCCGGCTGCAGCAGCCAGACACCGAGGCCGTGCTGAACGGGAAGGGGCTCGGCACCGGCACCCTTTACATTGCGGAGAGGTAGGGTCCCCGGGCTCCGGCGCTGGCCTCCCTCGGGGGGCTCCCTCAGGCGCGACCTCGGCGGGGAGCGCGGGGCGACGCTGTCCCGACCCCGCCTGGCTCTCTCCCCTAGACGGTGTTTCTCCTTAACGACTTGGGCTTTTTACCGGCCTGTCTGCTGGAGCCCGGCGCGTGGTCACGTTTATGGAGTTTTGAGTTTGCAGAGCCTCGGTTAGTTTCCGACGTGCCGGGCTTTCTGAATGATCTGTGAGCTAGATGTGTCTCCTGCGTAAGATATGTAGGCTCAGAGTAGATTGCGAAGGGGTTAGGACTCTTGGTTAAGGAGCATGGATTTTTCTGCTGCTCTAAGTGTGGGTGGGGAAAAGGAGCATCTTCAGGCCCACGCAGGGCGGGGTCATAACCAGCCGAACCCGACTCCTGGATGTGCGGGTCCGGGAAGGAATCCTACTTTTATTTGACTACCTGTAGCGCTTTGTACTTTCACAATAAGGTAGACATGTCACTAAAATACACATTCATTCATTCATTCATTCTCTCATTCTCTCTCCTCCCCCCTCTCCCTCCCTCCCTGTCCCTCTCCCTCTCTCCTCTCCTTTTCTTTCGCTGTGGTTATTCAGAGAATCCCACTTCAAGATCTGTAACATCCGGATTAGAAGTGGATCTTTCTACTTCAGATTAAACAAAACAAAACAAAAAAACTCACTGGTGTGCCCTCCATTTTTGGATTTTAGTTAATTCCAGATGTAGTCAAGTTGACAACCAAGAATAGCCATCACACTATGTAAAATGGGTTTTGCTTGTTTATTTTTGCTTGAGACAGTGTCTCTATGTAATCCTGGCTGACCCTGAACTCACAGAGGTCCTCCTGCTTCTGCCTCCTGAGTGCTGGGACTAAAGGTGTGCGCTCCCACCCGGTGGTTCTTTCTATAATTCCTTGGTGGGGGTGTATCTTGTATATGATTTTGCATTTTTGGAAAGTTTAATAAAACTTAAAAGGTACACTGTTGTTAATACCTATATGTTAATACCTTATAAAGATTGATTGAGGACTGGAGAGATAGCTCAGGGTTTAAGAGCATTTATTGCTCTTGCAGAGAGGACTGTGGTTCACAGCACCCACATGGTGGCTCACAGTGATCCCTAACTCCCAATTCCAGGAGGTCTGCCACCCTCTTCTGACCTCTGGGCACCAGGCACACATGTGGTGCACATACATGCAGGCAAAGCACTCATACCCATCAATCTAAAATTTTTTTAAAGATTCGTTAATGGTTAACATTTTATCATGTTTACAAGTCCAGGCTAATTTCAAATATTCAGAGTCATAAAACCTTTATTAACTCCACCAGGCAGTGGAAAGGGTGGGAGTTAATAAAGGTTTTATGGCTCTGAATATTGCAAATCTGGGATGTTTTATTCTAAATTGTGGTCATGTCAGGAGATTTTGGAGGTGAGAAAGGAAGCATAGTTTGATAGGGCTATTTTTGGTACCCATGAGCACTGTTTCATTCCCACATTAAGGGAAGAGCTGTGGGCAGGAAGGGTACATGCGGCACACAGTCATTTACATAAGAAATCTATTCCTTTAGAAGCAGTAAGGATGAAATAATTCCTCAAATGAATTGTTTTGGGTTTTGGAGACAGGGTTTCTCTGTGTAGCCCTGGCTGTCCTGGCCCTCTCTTTGTAGACCAGGCTGGCCTTGAACTCACAGAGATCCACCCACCTCTGCCTCCCGAGTGCTGGGATTAAAGGTGTGCTGCACCACCACCACCACCACCACCACCACCACCACCACCACCACCACCACCACCACCACCACCACCAGGCAATTCCTTAAACTTTTATCACTTTGCTATTTAAAGCTTATCACCTTATCCCTCTATTCTTTCCATGTAAGCCTAATGTGTGGAATTCTTTCCAATAACTGCGTCTTTTCTTTCAATTTTTTTTTTTTTTTTTTTTGGTTTTTGAGACAGGGTTTCTCTGTGTAGCTTTGCGACTTTCCTGGAACTCGCTTTGGAGACCAGGCTGGCCTCGAACTCACAGAGATCCGCCTGGCTCTGCCTCCCGAGTGCTGGGATTAAAGGCGTGCGCCACCACCGCCCGGCTCTTTTAATTTTTAAGTATACCATTAAATAGTATGGCTAATGGGCCAGCCTGGTCTACAGAGTTCTAGGACAGCCAGGGCTACTCAGAGAAACACTGTCTCAAAACGCACCCCCCCCCAAAAAAAGAAAAAACTAATCTTAGTGTGCTTATAGAGTTATGCATTTACCACCACAGTCTACCATATGCCTTTGGTTTTAGTCATACTTTTGCTGAGGACTGTTATACATGTGGATTATACTGTTAGACATTGATTTACTTGGTGGTGGTGGGTTCCCAAGGCATAAAATTTAGTGTCCTCTTAAACTGACCATGAGTGATTTTAGATTGCTACACTATCATTGTTCCTGCCTAAAGGAGTTCTTGGTTCTCCAGTTGAATATTTTTGTTTAGTTATTTGTTTTTTCTTGTTTTGTAAAGCTAGAAATCCACGGGAGTCTGCTTAAAGGTTAAAAGGAATTTATTAGGAAAGAAAACTCATTAAACACAATAGGAGAATCGTCGCAGGGTCCTGGGAAGCTGAGGTACTGTTCCATGCTTTTCTGCTGCCTGAGTCAGTCCCACACCATTCAAGCCCACGAGAGAGAGAAAAGAGCCACATATGTGTATCTCAGGTCTTAAGTGTAGCCCGGAGGCCGTGCCCTAGGGGCAGATACTTCAAGGTTATAGGTAACAGTTACCTGTCACATTTTGAGGGGCTGTACCTCAAGGTCATATGTAGAACAGATATCTACTACATCTCTCTATTTTGTCCAAATAAGGAAGTTCTAACCTAATATAAAACTGTATACAATAGGAATGATGATTAAGTATTGTCCAGGAGAGGGGAAAGGTAATAACATAAACAAAATAGAAATACAACCAACAAGAATGGCAACAAGCCAGAAACACACACAAAGCGTTCAGAAATGTCCAAACCATGGGTAAATGGCATATTACAGAGATTACTCTAATAGCTAGCTGTCCTATCCTGAAGATTCTAATTTTAGTATTTAAAATGTTCTTAGCTAAGATCTGAGAGGATAACTGTAACTATTTAGTCGTCAACCCCATCAAAGACCTGAGAAGGAAAATAATATTACCTGAGAAAACAGGAAGTGCAAGCAAACAATTTCCGAAAAAATTGTGAGACTAGACAGAGACAGCTGGCAGCCTGGACAGTCTAAATCTAAAGTTTCTCAGCACTTTTGGGGCATTCATTTTTGGCTACAGGCCTAGAAAATCTGACAGACCATTATCAGAAGCAGAAATTTTGAAAGACCATCTTACCCTGTCTTGGCAAGGTTCAGTAGTTGCTTCTCCTTGTGTCCTGTTCATCTGGAAAGGACAGCGTGTATATTGTCAGCAGTTGAGGCAAGGGCAGTTCTTTGCCCAGCAGGCCTTTTTTTTTGCCAAGAAGAAGACAAACTTCCAAACGGAGTGTCTTAGAAACCCAACAACATTCTCTCAGGAGTAGGTCGGTGCTGCCAGGAGCAATCATGTCTCACATCAACACAATTCTAAGTTATCAAAACGTTTAAATGCCATATTCTCTAGGTCTATGAAGTGTTTGAAGATTACCTATCCATCTGACCTATGTTTTTGTAAATCTGGAAAACCTAGCTAACATAATTGTAGATATGACAAGCATGGATGAATATTAATCTGTGAGTCTTATCTACCTAAATAACCTAAGGACTAATGCTTCACATGTCAAGGTAAACAATCTGTAAACAGATTTAGAGTATAAGGACAATTACCTCAAAATTATGACAATATCCAAAATATCTTAAACGGAGGTAATAATGTATAGTGTATATATAATAACAATATCCTTAAATATGTATCAATATACAAAATATCCTAAACAGAGGTAGAACATACAGACAGTATGACAAACATAATTTTATATTTGTATCAATATACAAAGTATTTCAAATAGGAGTAGGAACATGTGTACAATATGACAATTACAGTTTTGAATTTGTATCAATATAAAAATTACCTTAAATAGGAATTGAAAAATAGTTTACATTTGTATCAATATACAAGGATCCTATCAGTATAAATTATATAGGACTGATAGTTTGCTAAAATTAGTTTATTAGTAGATAACAATAATCTACCATAAATCCTGTACCTGTCTATTCCCCTTTTTTCTTTTCTTAAAGGGAGTCCTGAATCTAAATTTTATTGTTCCACCCCCAACCCTATAACGACTTATCTGTAATCCTGAGAAAATGAAACCTTTGGGAGAGGGGGCGTCATTTTCTTAAAATTGCTTCAAGTTACTGTTTAGGGGGCGATGGTATCTCTGTGGGATTCTGTAAGAAAGCTAAATGGTTAAGTCTCAGTAGGACTAGCTGTGGAGTCTGTAGCCAGTCTCAGTAATGGGTAAGATCTGAGATTCTGGCTAGAAGTGTAATATGATGGACCTATCTCATCACGGAACTGTCCTGAAGAGTTTGCAGTCCAAATCTGATCATTGAATGGTATTTTTTGGTTTAATGGCATCATTATGGACCGGGTAGAGTTGTTGTTGTGGGGCCCTGTCTTTCTGGAGACTTCAGAGACTACTATTGCAAAGACTTATTTTTCACTGTGGAAAACTTGAGCATTATTAATATCAAAATGGAAAGTATGGATTGTAGGATGACATGACATGTGAGGAAGGATTCCCAGAAATCAGGAATAAGCATGGAGAGAAATAGAATCTTGACAATGGTCCCTAAATTATTGGTTTTTTTTATGTCCCACACCAGTTGACTCTTCCAATATGAGACAGAATCTCCTATTTTTTTTTTTTTTCTTTTAGCAACATGCTTGGGTTTAGAGAAGGAGAGAGCTACATTCCAATTCCAAAGCCAGCTTGATTTATAATTGAATTGGGACCACAGCTTTTCTAGAGTTAAAGAGATATTGATGTTAGGCAGTGAAATATTATCCTGTAGAGTATATGGGTACCAATAGGTCCTTCCCTTCTGCTGTAGATGTCTAGGTGTCCAAGGCCTTTTGATTTCTTGAAGATGGGTATTTCTAATTTTATGTAAAGACAAAAAACAGAACCCTGCCTTACCATTGTTTGTTGAGTTTTCCTTACAACTTGTAGAATTGTCACATCGGTGGATGAACTATTATTTTTCCTCATCATGGGGTTTCTCCTGTTTGAATCAAATTTTTATTAATTTTGTTGGCATCTATGGCTTTTTTTTTTCCCTGCAGAAGCAAAAGTAAAACCCCTTCCCCAACATAGGACATATCCTGGTTTCCATTCCAACATCAACACATCTTTGAAGTAAACAGGCCCATCTAGCTCCGTAGGTAGAGCATGAGACTCAATATCAGAGTCATAGGTTCATGCCCCATGTTGGGCACCAGAAAAAGCGAGAAATCCTCAGGAGTCTGCTTAAAGGTTAAAAGGAATTTATTAGGAAATAAAACTCATTAAACACAATAGAATCGTCTCTGGGTCCTGGAAGGCTGAGGTACTGTTCCATGCTGTTCTGCTGCCTGAGTCAGTCCCACACCATCCAAGCCCATGAGGGAGAGAAGAGAGCCACATATGTGCATCTCAGGTCTTAATTGTAGCCCGGAGGCCGTGCCCTAGGGGCAGGTACTTCAAAGTTATAGGTAAACAGTTACCTGTTATATCTCAAGGGGCTGTACCTTAAGGTCATAGGTAGAACAGATATCCACTGCATGCCTTTGATCCCAGCACTGGAGGCAGAGGCAGGCTGATCTCAGTGAGTTCCAAGACAGCCAGGGCTATAGAGAGAGACCCTGTCTCCAAGCGGGGGAAAAGGTTCATGGCTAACCTGGGCAACTGAGGTCAACATGAGCTAAATGTCTAAACTCTGTCTCAAAAACAAGAGGGAATGGGGAGGCGGGGAGGGAGGGAGAGAGGATGGAGGAAGATATTGGAGAGGATACAGGATATGCATATATTCTCCTGTTCTGCTGAGTTATGTCCCTATTCCTTTAACTTGTATATTTTAAACTTTTATTAGCATATAGTAGTTGTATAAAAATGACTTTTATTGTGACATTCCCTTTTAAAGTAGCATTATTGACTTGGTTTACATGGCATACAGCTTGTTCATTTCATTCATAGAAGTTGATGATTTTATTATGCACTCATAGCCACACTCAATTTTAGAACATTTTGGTCCCCCCCCCCCAAAAAAAAAAACCAATACTCATTAGTAGTCATTCCCTATTTCAGCCCTGGAAATGTTTTTGTGGCTTCCTTGGGGTCTTGCCCCCTGCTGAGGTCTTGTCACTGACTTTTCTGCTCAATTGTACAATTCATAGTGGGGGAATTACTGCCAAGAAAAATTAGGCATTACCTGTCAAAATTCAATATACTGACTTTGGTAATATGTTTCCTTTGTTATACCAATAAAATATTTGTGCACTTTTATTTGTGGTTTTTTTGGGTGTTTTTGTTTTTAAAAATGTTATTTTATTTGCATGGTGTTTTGCCTCCATGTATGTCCGTGTATCACATGTGTCCCTGGTGCTTAGGGAGGCCAGAAGAGAGTGTCAGATCTCCTGAGGCAGAATTACAGGTCTTTGTGAGCTAGGAATGTGGGTGTTTGGAATTGAACCTGGGTCTTCTGGAAGTGCTCTTAATCACTGAGCCATGTCTGCAGCCCCTCTAGCTTTTTCTTAGAGCTGGTAATAAATGGGAACTTTTACCTTGTCTCTTAAGGTAATAATTAATTTTTTGAATTGTGATTGTAATCACATATGTTTTGTGTGTACATTTAATGTATGTGGAGTGGAAAGGATGATTACCAGTTATCTTGCATGCTTATCTACTGAAAACGGTGCTAACATTTTTCAAGAATGTTAACTAAAGGGATGGAAGTAACAGTACAAACACGATTCATTAACATACTTAGTGCTAATGTGTGTTACCAAGCACAAGTGCAGTTTGGAACAGAAGAGGTCCTTGTAGAAAGGTCTCATGGAGTTATTCGGGACTTGACTAGATGAAAGGATCTGCACAGCAAAGAGGAAAACTGGAGATATCCTAAACAGGATAAACACAAAAGACAGGCACAAGGTAGGGGCCGAGAGCTGTTAAGAGCACATGCTGCTCTTTCAGAGGACCGGAGCTAGATTACTAGTCCCCACATTGGAGAGTTGACAGCCTCCCCTAACTCCAGCTCCAGGGGATCTGATGCTCTCCCAGCCTCCACCAGTACCCACATGCACATACACAGGCAAAATAAACACGGATGACTTGAAAAATTGCCTCTCAAATCTGTTTGAGTTTATAGAGGAAAAGAAATCATAAAAGAAAAAAATTCAGTTCTTGTCACTAAATTTTCTTATTTTAAGGAATATTTCTAATATTGTCAATAAACTTGAATTTCTTTGTATGCATAAAAGTGTCCATGTTGAACCTTTGTAAGTTGTGGAATATTATTAGGATTTAATTTTTAAAAATAATCTGCCTAAAACCTGTTTTTCAGCCGCCTGTCTTGGTTAGATGGTTCTGGATTAGGATTCTCACTGGAATACCCCACCATTAGTTTACATGCAGTTTCCAGGGACCTAAGTGCTTATCCTCAAGAGCATTTGTATGTTATGGTGAATGCCAAATTTGGAGGTATGTATGGTATAACTTAATCTACTGCTCCTCTGATAGCCAAGTATATTTTAAAGGGCAATGTTTGTTTATTTGTTTGTTTGAGATGAGGTCTTACAGGTTGCTCAGGTTAGCCCTGAACTCCTGGACTTGATTAACAGAGCTCATTCTCCCAGATACTGACACTTTAGGTGTGTACTTCTTTACCAATCTAAAAAGCAATCTTTGATAATAATCAGTAAAAATTAATCCGTTGGTCCACATTGGATAATATCGTATTAAGCAAAGTTAATTACCTAAAACAATTTGGCCATTTGAATTTCTTCTAATGGGCATTGGTTTTGTGTGTATCTGCCTTTTATTTTCTATATGTCTGCACTTAGAATTCTTCTGTTAATATGGATGTTTCTACTTTTTTGTTTTAACTGCTTATTCCTTACCCTCCTAAAGACACTTCAGAGATGTCAACCAGTGTATTTTGTCTATCTAGAAATTTAAGATAGAATTGTTTTTATTTATTTATTTTAAAGATGTATATGTGGGTGGGGGTTATTGCCTGCATTTATGTCTGTGATACTACATGTGTGACTGATGCCAGCAGAGACCAGAAGAGGGTGTAAGATCCCCTAGACCTGGAGTTACAGACTGTAGCACGAATCTTAAAAGGTCTTATTAATAAAAACAAACCTGGAGCCAGGTATTGGGGTGAACGCTGAAAGATCAGAGGAACAGAACAAGCCACAGCCACCTCACCTCACCAGTTCTTCAGCTGATCCTGTTTCCTCAGACTGGAAGTCTCTGAGTCCTCATCCAGAATGAATCTCAGCTGAACTGCTGCTAAAAGCCTAAAAGCTTAACCAGCTCTAGTTCCTAGTTTTCATGCTTTATATACCGTTCTGCTTCCTGCCATCACTTCCTGGGATTAAAGGCATGAGTCACCATGCCTGGCTGTTTCCAGAGTGGCTTTGAACTCACAGAGATCTGGATGGGTCTCTGCCTCCAGAAGGCTAGGATTAAAGGTGTGAGTGCCACCATTTTCTGGTCTCTATGTCTGTCTAGTGGCTGTTCTGTTCTCTGACCCCAGATAAATTTATTAGGGTGCATGATATATTGGGGAACACAGTATCACCACAACAGACTGTGTGTTTTATGTGTTTGTCTGTGTGAATATGTGCTACATGCATGTGGATGCCTGCAGAGACCAGAAGAGGGCATTGGATTCCTTGGAGCTGGACTTACAGGAAGTTTTTAAGCCAAACAATATGCATTTCAGGAACTGAACTTCTAGTTCAGCTAGCAGTGTGTTAGCTACTTTTTCTATTACTGTGTCAAAACACCATGACCAGCAACTAAAGAAAAAAGTGTTTAATTGGGCTTAAAGTTCCAGAGAGTTAGAGTCTATGATGGTGGAGCAAAGGTGTGGCATCAGGAACAGCTGAGAGCTCACATCTCAGACCACAAGTAGAGGCAGAGACGAACACTGAGCGACAGGGGTTTTGAAACCTCAAAGCCTGTCCCCAGTGCATACCTCCTCCAATAATGCCACACCTCCTAACCCTTCCCAGATAGTTCCTCCAACTGAGGGCCAAGTGTTTAAACAGATGAGCTTATGGGGGCCATTCTCATTCAAACCACCAGGAGCAACAAGCACTCTTAACCACCGAGCTGTCTCTCTAGGCCCCAGATGGTTTCTATTTTGTTTAGTAGTGGTTCGCAGTAGGTGGGTGGGGAGAACTTTTATGTGCTGCCGCTGTTGGTTGGTGAAATTTTATTGGAGGAGGAGGGGTGCTACTGGCATCTAATAGATGCCAAATTGCTTGCAACAAAAATTACGCAGTACAAATGTTAGGAGTGTCACAGTTCAGAAGCCCTGCATCACAAGATTCCCGAGTTTTACTGTTCATGAAACTATAAGTAAGTCGTCAATTCTAAGATAATGGGTAGCTTTTCTCTGAACTCTTGTATAACAAGTTGGGATTTTCTCTTGGTTCCAGATTTAATCTTTTTTTTTTTTTTTTTTCAGAGCTGAGGACCAAACCCAGGGCCTTGCACTTGCTAGGCAAGCGCTCTACCACTGAGCTAAATCCCCAACCCCATCATTTTTATTTAGTTGTGAACACTAGTTACTAATTTTTAGTACTCTGCAGAGCAAGCCATACCTTATTAAGTGATATTGACTGATCCAGCTATCCAAAAATATTCTCACTATAAGATTTCAAATTTTTCCTGTTGGAAAGGGTTCAAAGATAGATAAAAATACCATGAAATTTGGGAAAGGATAAGGAAATGTTAAAAGTTCTTACATGTTGGAGTGTAACATGACTTCCTAATGAGGTAGTAAACACCAAGTTCACTCACTTGACAGAAGGAAAGAAGGGGATTTTTTTTGGCTCACAATTTCAGAGATATTTCAGTCCATCTTGGTGGAGAACACATGGTGGCAGGCAAGTGAGGCCGTGGCTATTCACTTGGCAGAGGATGAGGAAGCAGAAAGGGGGTAGCTTCAGAGCCAGGGGTGGGTAGAACCTTCCAAGGTCTGGCCCTAGTGCTGTCCTCTGGGCAACAAGTATTCCAAACATGTGGATGTGGGGACATTTTAGAACCCATCCATAACACTAAATGCAACTATGATTTTTATAACTGCTGATCAGTGTGCTGTTGCTATGACAAAAGACCTTAGATAATCAGTTTAATAAGGGAGGGTTTATTCTGGCTTATGAGTCACAGATTTCAGCCAGTACTCATTTGGCCCTGTTTCTTTCAACCTGTACTGGCACAGCACACCATGGCAAGAGCCTCCACATGGTTGAGGAGACTTGAAGGTAGTAAAGAGAATAGTTGTTCACATTAGGACAGCCAGAAAGCAAAGCATAGAGGGCCTGGAGTCCCCATCCCCTAGGCTAAGCTCCAGTGACCTAACGTTCTCCATGTCCTCACCTCCTAAAGATCTTAATGCCCACTAGCACCACAGGCTGGTGACTAAACCTTTATTTAATATGTGGGCCTCTGAGATCACTCAAGATCCCAACCATAGCGGTAAGGAAGAAATTAGGTGGTGTTTAAAAGTGTTCTCGTCGGTCAGTTCCAAATGCTGATGCGTTGGGGCCAGGGGTGTGGCTCAGTAGTGTAACATGTGTTTAGCATATGTGAGGCCCTGAGTTTAAGCCCCCCCCCCAAAAAAAAAAACAAACCAAAATAAATGTTGTTACATAATGCCCCGGAGTGTCCAGCATTGGCAGTGAGCAAAGGTGCTTGTCCAGCAAAAGTCTAGTGAGGTAGGGATTCAGTAATACTAGATAAAGGATAAAGCACCCCCAGTAAGTAAACTGTGCTTCACATGCCAGGTGAGTCATTTTCTCATGAGTCTCAGTTTCATTTAAAAAAATCTCTAAAGGATCATGTTCATCTCACTTTCCACAGGGCCTCATCTCCTAACAATTCTACTGACTCCCAGTAGCACCACAGGCCACAGACTCAACCTTTAATCAGTTTGGAGCCTAAGTGCTGCTGGTTTTGTCTATACTGAGCTTAAACACAGCGGCACACATGTGCTAGTTAAGGGCTCTGCCGCCGGCGGCGGTACCAGCAGGTCCTACATTCCTTTCTGTTTGTGACCTTCAGGCACGTTCCTAAGACTGTAAGAAATTGTTAATCATGGTTATTTTCAGGGTAGAGATGGCTCAGTGGGTTCAGTTCTTGCTGTGTAAGCATGGGGACCTGGGTTTGGATTCTCAGCATCCACATAAAAACTGGGAACCGAGAGAGATTCCCAGCAGATCCCAGAAGTCTGCTGACCAGCCAGTCTCACCAAAACAATGAGCCCTGGGTTCAGTGCGAGACCCTATCTCAAAAACAAAACAAAACAAATAAAAACAAGTGGAGGGCAGAGGCCCAGATTGAACTCAACGGCCTTCTTTTACATGTGTACAAGCAAGCATACTACACACACCTGCATATGCACGTATATCCCTGCCCCACTCCCCAACAGTGGCTATTTCTGGGAAGAGGATCTAGGTAGGCTCTAGATTCCGGCACTGTGCTGTGAATTATTGTTACACCAGAGTGTATTGCTGTCATTCTGCTATGTAGTACCTCATTATAGAACAGTAATTGTAGTATAGTACCATGTTGTTTTTTAAAATGCGTCGACAAAGTTTGGAGGTTGTGACGAACCAGTATTTAGAATTTTCCAGTAGGTGTATTATTCTGCTTGATAACTAAAGTTACGTATGTTTAACAATGTGCCATTGAAAACAGCACAGAAAATATACTATGAAATCTGTTACTTAAAGGTATTATTAGTGGTCACTTCTAATTTTTATCTTTTGCTTGTCTGTATTTTCATACTATTTTACACTGAACTTACATTAACTAAGTACTCGGGGTTGGGGATTTGGCTCAGTGGTAGAGCCCTTGCGAGAAAGCACAAGGCCCTGAGTTCGGTCCTCAGCTCCGGGCGGGGGAGGGGAAAAAAAAGCACTGCCTTAGTGGATGCCCCTTGCTTACCTTGTCAACCTTACTGGATGAAGAAAACTTAAAGATATTAGTAAAACACACCTCTGTGTCTCTGTGATGGTATTGCCAGAGACATTTAACTCAGCTGAGGGAAGAAGCCCCACATGTGAGGAGCATCATCAGTCGGCTGAGTGCCTGGATGGAACAAAGGGGAAGAAGGAAGAAGCCTGTTAGTTGGTGTGGCCAGTCTTCTCTCCCTGGCCTTCCCCTCACTTCCCCTACCTTCTCTTCCTTTCCTGACTCCACTTCCTGGCTGCCATGAATAAGACACTCTGCTCCATCTCACTCTCCTCTCTTCATGGCTCAGTTCCCTAACAGTGGAGCCAGCTGAGCATGGTCAGCTTGACACCAGGAGCCAAAATCAGCCCTTGCTCCTTTCTGTTGATTGCTCAGTGTGGTGTCACAGTGATGAAAAACTGACACCCGCTGCAAGTAGATTTACTGCATTAATAAGTATTTTTCTGCTTTTTCTTCATCTGCATGAATGTTTAAAGTTTTTTAATGCTACTTTAAATGTAAAAGTTAATTTTTTTCTTCTTTGCCATAGCAAAGTATTGAACCCAGGGCTTTGAACATGCTAGGCAAGCGCTCTGCTACTGAGTTGCATCCTCAGCCTCCCCAACCCCTTTAAATTTTTTGGTTTTGAGATGGTCTTGCTAAATTGCCACAGTTGGCATCTAACTTTGAATCTTCCTCCATCACCCTCCTGAGTACCTGGGACCACCCTAGCTCAATTTGTACTTATATTTGTAGGTGTAGTGTGTGTGTGTGTGTGTGTGTGTGTGTGTGTGTGTGTGTGTGTGTGCGCGCGTGTGCGTGTGCGTGCGCCAGAGAACAACTGTGTGAATTTAGGTCTTCCCTCCTTTAAATAGGTTCTGGGGATCAAACTCAGTATTGTCAGATTATGCAGAAGCCCCTCACCAGCCCTTACTTTGTGTGTTTAAGATGGCTAATCTCAGCAAACATGTTTGCTGTTTGTGGAAAATGACTATTCTACCACTAAACTATTATTTTCAGCCCTAATTTTCTTTGCACATTTTTGTTATATCTACAAACTATTGATTTATTTGTTGGTCAGTTAACTTTCATGAACTTGAAATGGTCTCATTTGATTAGTGTTGTCTTCTCTTAGTGCATTACAAGTGCTCTGATGCTGAGCACAGCCCCGTAACCCATCCAGCTCTGAAGTAACCAGCAGTAGAAACTGAACTGCAGTTTCAGGTATACCAAGAAATTTTCTAGCCTGTTTGTTGATTTTTTTTTCCCCCCAGACAGGGTTTCTCTGTGTAACAGCCCTGGCTGCCCTGGAGCATCGATTTGTATACCAAGCTGGCCTCGAACTCACAGAGATCTGCCTGCCTCTGCCTCCCGAGTACTGGTATTAAAGGCATGCACCACCACCTTCTGCTTTAATTTTTTTAATGTGTATATTTGCTTCTATTTCTCAAGTGTAAGTATTTCAGGCATGCATTACCATGATTGGATCTACCTTCAGTGTCTAAAAATGTCAAATAAATATTACAATTTTCTGTTCCTTGAGCTAGATCAGCAGTTAAGAGCTCTTGCTGCTCTTTCAGAGGACCAGACTTTGTCAGGTGACTCAAAGTACTTCTAACTCCAGCTCCAGGCAATTCTGATGCTCTCTTCTCCTGCATGCATACTGTGCACATAAACTTATGCAGACACACATAAGTAAACCCTTTTAAAAAAAAAAAACCTTTATGTCTTAAAAGATTTTTTTTATTCCTTTTATAGAAGAATCAAAAGAATCTGTCTCTGATGAAGATGAGGAAGACAGTGATAATGATGTTGAACCCATTACTGAATTTAGATTTGTGCCCAGTGATAAGTCAGCACGTGAGTGTTCTGTAATACTGATCTTTTCTCTTTATGTTCCCCTCTCCTGTTGATAGACACACACCTCTCACCTTCATTATGGTTACCTCCATTCTATTGCTTTATCTTCGTTTTAACCTCCTTAAACTTATTGAGAGTGGGTACTTACTCATGTCACAAGTTGTGAATAGAGTAATAGTATTGTGTACAGCATGGTACCTGGTGTATTTTGTGCAAGGAGGATTCTGGTTAGTTTTATTGATTGATGTCTGTCGCCGGAAGTTTCTCCGGTCCTGCCCAGCCCGAGGTCCTGACGAGTCTCTCCCACTGCCCACTGCCCACCACCCGCAGTCCCAGGCCTACAGCAGCTTATAAAATCATTACTCAGAGGCTTACTATTAATTACAAAGTGTATGGCCTATGGTTCAGGCTTTTTGTTAGCTGGCTTTTACAATTAGACTCAACCCATTCCTATTAATCTGTGTATTGCCACATGTTCTGTGGCTTTACCTGTGTTACATTACATCTTGCTTCCCTAGGCACCTCTCAGCGTCTCTGATGACTCCGCCCTTTTCTCTATATCTCTGTTTGGATTTCCAGCCTGCCTCGTCATAGGCCAAAGTAGCTTATTAACTAGCCAATGAGAGCAACATATATTCACAGGGTACAGAAAGACATCCCACAGCAAATGTCACCTGTGGGAAGCACTTCCAAAGTTGAAAATGCTGAGACTGATGGAAAGTACCCTGTCATGTGGCAGGGGCTTAATCCTAATCAGCAGTGTGACCAATAACTCTGACCACCGCCCACCGCCCTCTTGTCAGAGTCTCTCTATGTAGTCATGGCTGTCCTAGAACTTGCTATGTAGACCAGGCTGGCCTCAAACTCACAGAAATCTCTCTGCTTCTGCTTCCTGAGTGCTAGAATCAAAGGCATAAGCCATAGCATCTGGCTTGACCTTTTTTTTTTTTTTTCTCCAGTTTTTCAAGACAGGGTTTCTCTGTATAGTTTTGGTGTCTGTCCTGGATCTCACTCTGTAGACCAGGCTGGCCTTGAACTCATAGAGACCCACCTGCCTCTGCCTCCTGAGTGCTAGGAACCTATTTTAAATCTCACCACCCATAAAGAGAATTCAGTAATGTTTTGAACTCTTTGTGACTTGTTCCTTGTCTCAGGCACTTTTGGAATAGGCTGTGTACTTGTAATGATTAATTTTTATTTGAATTTTGCAGATTTTTTTTTTTTTTTTTTTTTTTTTTTTTTTTTTTTTTTTTTGGTTTTTCGAGACAGGGTTTCTCTGTGTAGCTTTGCGCCTTTCCTGGGACTCACTTGGTAGCCCAGGCTGGCCTCGAACTCACAGAGATCCGCCTGGCTCTGCCTCCCGAGTGCTGGGATTAAAGGCGTGCGCCACCACTGCCCGGCCAGATTTTTTTTATAAATATTGTTACCCTAGTAAACCTTTTGTCTGCTTTGAAATTTGTTTGCACTGGTGGTTATGTTTATTCTAAAACTTTGTGGTGCACTGGGAAAAAATATTAGTTACAATTTAATGTCTTTGCTCAGTGGAGGCGATGTTCACTGCAATGTGTGAATGCCAGGCCTTGCATCCAGATCCTGAGGATGAAGACTCTGATGATTATGATGGAGAAGAGTATGATGTGGAAGCACATGGTTAGTGACTTGGCTCATCAGTATTGGTTTTAGTGTTTCATTTTAAGCATGTAGTTGTCCTAAGGGCACAAGATTTTGTTTTTTGTATCTGCATAAAGTAACCAATGTAAAGTGACTATAAATAAAAGGAGTGATACATTGGCACACTTTGTCTAGGCCCTTTCAGCAGTCAAATTGGGGAATGAATGAATTTCCCAAACTCAAACAACAATAGGAGATTATTAGGGGTGGGGACTAGATAGTAGGAAAATGGGAAAGAAAATAATAGCTAGAAAATGGGTAGTCAAGAGCATACTTTAGGCTGGGTTGGCTGCCCCCACATTGAGAAGTCTGTTTATAAGTCTGTTTATATGGATCTCTTTAAAAAAAAATTTTTTTTTAAATTTTATGTGTATGGGTGTTTTGCTTAGGTTTATAATATGTGCACTGCATGTGTGCCTGGTGCCCTCAGAGGCCAGAAAAGGATGTTGGAACCCCCGGAATACAGTTTTGAACTGCCAGCTGGGTGCTGGGAACCAAATCCTAGTCCCCTGCAGGAAAGGCAAATGCTCTTAAGCCAGGCATCTCTGCAGAGTCCTGTTGACCTCTCTCTTAGTCAGCACATCGCTTGAAATAGCTTATGGACAATGTAGTGTTCTTTCCCCAGAACCATACTTCTGTCTACAAGTATCTCCCCTTGCCATCTCAGACCAGGATGCACTCCCCTGATAGACATGTAGCCTGAGGCACAAACTGTTGTGTTTGCATTTCCCTCTGGTCTTATGCATACCAATATGGGTATCCAAAGTCTTTTCCTACATATGAATCCAGATCCTCGCCTGAGACTACCCGTTTCTGGGATTGTTCTTCACATACATAAACATGTGCTCACTTCTTAGAAAATTTTTTTTAAGGTTTTTTTGTTTTTTGGGGTTTTTTTTTTTGGTTTTTTGAGACAGGGTTTCTCTGTGTAGTTTTGTGCCTTTCCTGGATCTCGCTCTGTAGAACAGACTGGTCTTGAATTTACAGAGATCCGCCTGCCTCTGCCTCCCAAGTGCTGAGATTAAAGGCGTGCGCCACCACCGCTCAGCCTTAAGTGGTTTTATATTTTGTCCTTTTTATATTTTTTTAGATTTTTTGTTTTGTTTTAAAAGGAACATGTTAATTCAACATCCCTTCAGTATCAAATTAATTGTATTCACTTGTAAAATTCCCACCTTGGACTAATAAAGGAGTCACTGGTTTTTGAAACACCCTCTTCTCATTCTAGACCCCGACAAGCCCGTTTTCTGGGAACTGATGTTTACTAGTTTATTAGCTCTTCAATGTTTTCTCATCCTAGAGGTAGAAACAGTTTTTCTTTTTCTTTTCTTCTTCAAACTCTTAAACAATGGCCTAATCCACCGATTTTGGAAGTCTTTCTGGGAGCCTCCACATCTTCAGCAAAGGCATTTTTGATTATTCATTTTGTTTTTTCCAGCTGTTGTGTAATCGCTTAAAAGCTTTCTGTTTGTTTAGAACAAGGGCAGGGCGACATCCCTACATTTTATACCTATGAAGAAGGATTATCCCACTTAACAGCGGAAGGGCAAGCCACGCTGGAGAGATTAGAAGGGATGCTTTCTCAGTCTGTGAGCAGCCAGTATAATATGGCAGGAGTCCGGACAGAAGATTCAGTAAGAGATTATGAAGGTGAGTTCTCTTTCTCTTCGGAGTAAGCAACTGGCTATAAGGGAAATCTTAAAGAAACAAAGTTTTCTCTTAGAAACTGGAAGGCAATGAAATTTCACAATTAACCTAAAAATATAGGAAGGAAATGTGGAGTTACTAGAACGGCTCGAATGGGAATGGTTGGGGGGTTTTTTTGGTGTGTGTGTGTGTGTGTGTGTGTGTGTGTGTGTGTGTGTGTGTCTGTGTCTCCTGTTCACCTTTGCCTCCCAAACTATGTCAGTATACAAATGGTCTAGGGCCAGCAAGATGCTCAGCACCTAAAGGTGCTCTCTGGTTGGAGGAGAAAATTGACTGTCTATTCAGCAGCATAATAGTAGGTTCTTCCCGAGGGCCCATGTCCTACCCATGCACAGGGTTAATGGTAACCATGTGGTCCGGTTAATGGTAGTAGGCATTAGTTCCATCCTGTAGAACAGGTCAGAAATGCATTCAGAAAGTGTGGCTGCTCCTTTGCATTCACTCATTATTGCACCAGTGGGCCTGACTTGCCAGGCCATTAATTACTGTAGCTCTCAGCGTTGATAGAGAGATGCTTCCAGGTTGTTGTCAGCTTCATTTCTCCATGTTCTATCACTCAGAGATGTGGTGTCTTCAGCAGTAGGCTCTTTTTTCTAGCTTTTTCCATTGATTATTTAATGGCGGGAGAGGGAGAAGGAAGATGCACACGTGGGATGGTGCATGGGTTCCTATCAAAGGACAACTTTTGGGAGTTAGTGTTTGCCTTCCACATTGTTGAGGCAGGGTCTCTTTTCTGCATACTCTGGGCTATCTGGCCTTTAAGCTTTCGGGTGATTCTCCCATCTATGCCACCCACATCCATCTGTAGTACTGAAGGAGTGTTAGAATCCAGCTTTCCATGGATTCCCAGGACTAGGAGCCAGCTCAGGTTATCAGGCTTGGACAGCTAGCACTTTGGCTTGCTTAGTCATTTCCTCAGCCTCCATTTTACTGGAGACCATTACATTCCATTACACTCCATTATATTGGCTCTGAGGGGGTGACGTTGTTTACCCCAAGTGTTGGCAGTACTGTACCTTCTAACCTTAAGCTGATTGTCTGCCGCTTCTGGATTTAACATTTATATATGTTTGCTCATTTAATTCTTCTAAGAATTCTGTTGAATAAATTTATGATCCCCATTTTACACATTAGACAACTGAGGCACAGAAGGATTGCATTGGTTGGGGCCAAACAACTGATAAGTGGTAAGAGGATTAAATGACCCATTATACAAAAATAATATGCCTGCCACTGTCATAAGCACTTCTTGCATTTTATATGTGTTTAGTATATATTACTATTTTATGATCTGGTAACATCGTAACATTTGTTATTTTTAATAATGACAGGATAGTCTTATGGCTTTCTTTAGGTTTTCTTCTGTTGGTGCACTCAAACTTCGCATAATGCTGTGATTGATATCTCCATGCATATAGCATATTGACCTGGATTTCTTGGAGTTCTGGACTGTTTGGGGTTAGGGGCAAGAATTGTGTCTTACTGTGTTGCCCATGCTGGTCTCGGACTAGTAAACTCAAGTGATCTTATCCCAGCATGCGACATTGCATATCTAGGTGATAGGATGTCAGCGGGAGTTGACAGAAGTTTGTGGCAGGTAGAGTTGAGGAGTGAGAAAGTAAAGAAAACAACTGTAGACATTTCTTTTTAATGTTCTGTTTTCTTCTGCCCTCCTCCCACACCTTTTATCAAAATTGTATTTGTGTGTGTGTGTGTGTGTGTGTGTGTGTGTGTGTGTGTGTGTGTGTGTGTAGGAGGTGTTTTATCTGCATATATGTCTGTACACCACTTGTGGTTCGTGCCCTTGGAAGCCAGCAGAGGATGTCAGATCCCCTGGAACTGAAGTTACAGACAGTTGTGATCTGCTGTGTGGGTGCTGGGAATCAAACCTGGGTCCTTTGAGAAAGCAGCCAGTGCTTCTAACTGCTGAACCGTCTCTCCAGCCTTTTTTGTGAGATGACAATAAAGAGGAGATAAAATTCTGCTCCCCCCCCCCCAGCTGTGTCTTGGGCTTTTTGAGTGTATCACCAAATGCCTTTAAATAATGTCTAACAGTCAATACTTGACACAGTTCTCTGAAGAATGAACAGTTGATGCCTACTTACTGCATCTGAAAATTCCTACCAGCCAGCCAGCCTAGCACTTGGGAGGTGAGCCTGGACTGCACTGTGAGTTTGAACCAGCCTAGGCTACATAACAAAACATTGTCCAAGAACATTTAAAAAGAAAAAAAACAAAGGAAAGATACAAATTGACTCCTACTAGGATTCTGGGATTTGTATGTGTATATGTGTTTGTATGTTACTGTGGTGAGTTTACAAAATAAATGTTAAATGTATGGACTGATTGTAACTGACTTAAATCCATAAGAGCTTTTCCTGTCTGTCTCTTTTTGAGTAATTTAGTTTTCAAAGTAGAAAGTGTGGAAGCGGAGGCGTGAGATAGTCTGGCCTGGTGGTTCATCCCTGCAGTTCTAGCCCACGAGGGACTGATGTTGGGAACTGAGGATAGCCTGAACTGCATGTCACCGTTTTGGAAACAAAACAAAAATGCCAGAATTTTTAAATCCAGTTATTTTATTTTTATTTTTTTTGAGACTGGGCCTCACATGTAGCTCTGGCTGTCCTGGAACTTAGTACACAGACTAGGCTGGCCTCGAACTCATAGTTCTGACTCTGCCTCCCAAGTGGTGGGACTCAAGGTGGGCACCATCATGCCTAGTTTTTAAGTGAATTCTTGCCAGCAGAGGGCACTGGCATCCTTGTTGAATCTACCTGTCTGAAGTGCAGTCTCTTTATGTGCAGATGGCATGGAAGTAGATACCACACCAACTGTTGCTGGACAGTTTGAGGATGCAGATGTTGATCACTGAAGATGATGTATGCTGCTATACAGTGAGTAACTTATTCTCTCCTGTGTCACAGAACATGAAAATCCTGGGAAATGACTGTTGTTTTGTTTTTTGAATTCATAATTTAAGAGAATGCTGTATAATGCACAAACTCTGTAAGGTTAGCAGTTTGAAAGACTGTCGCCTATCTCTGGATTTTTTGTCCTAAGAAATCAAAGTTTGCAAACACTGTAGTCTGGGTTTAGCATCTGCCAGGCACTACACTGGAAGGTAGAATACATGTACAACAAAGAGGAAGTGAGTTTGAGCTTAGCAGTTGGTGGTAGCCATCTGTGTGGACATGAGCCTCCCTGCTGGCTCACGTGGGAGTGACAGCCTGAGCATGTCTTGGTCTGTTCTGGAGCCACTTTCCCTCATTTGGTGAGCTGAGCCTGTTCCATGGTTTCTTGCACCTTACTGCTTTTCAGTCCAGGGAGGAAGTAAAGTAATTCCAAACTGAGCTTAAGACATTATAATCTTGTATTGCTATCCCTCTTTCTGGGAGCAATAGTGGACAGATGTCCTGTGTACCTTAGTGATCAAAGCTGATTTGTCCAGACCATTTACAGTCACCCAACAGCCAGTATTTCCCAGAGTTCTTTCCTGTCTGCCCTTCATGGTTGATATACTGGTTCTCTGCTGGTTTTGTTTCTGGCACATTCTAGTGAGCTTTGCCTTAAGTTTGTCCCTGAGTACTTGCTACTCTGTGAAACCTTTCCCGTGTGAACAGTTAGGCTGTACTTTGTTAGGTAATTGAAGGTCAAGGACTAGCAGCTGCAGAGTCCTTTCTTAAAATCTGGAAATTTTTTCTTTGTAAAATTATTGTTGTTCCTTCCTCCGTGTAATAATGTTGTCCTGTCCTTCCTTCCCCCTAAATACTGACTGTTTCCCCTCCTTGTAGGTCCGTGTTCTCAGGGTCCTTTGAAAAAGTACATATTATAGCCTGACAAGACTAATGTGTATAGTCTGACTTGACTCTGCCACTACTGTTGGTCATCTAGTTATGTTTTGAGTACCTTCACTATTTCTGTTGTGATTGTGATTCAGTGTTAGAGACTGGCCTAGGGTGTTCCAGCCCCTCGGTTCAGTCAGTCCTCAGCACTGACCTCCCAGCACCCACATTGCAACTCACAAACATCTGTTGTCCAGTTCCAGAGGATTTGATGCCCTCTTCTGGCCTCCTCAGGCATTGCGTGCACAACATACACATACAGGCAGGCAAACACCCACACACATAAAATAAATGTGTCTTTATTGTTTTTTGTTTTTTAATTCCTGTGTTTACAAATTATTATGGTTGTGAGACTAACTATGAATTATGACATTGTGTCTCTGTTTTCTTATAGTATGGTTATCAAAAAAATAACCTCAAAGAAATTCTGTGCTTCTGTGATTTATATCTCACCCTGTAAAAGTTTTCCTTCCTCACACCTTTGCTTCTTCCTGTGGTCTGTGGCCAGCGGCATCTCCTCTCTAACCTCAGTGCTTATTTCACTGGTACTGGGTTGGATTTCAGCTCACAGTTCAGACATCACTAACTTCATCTTGGCTCCCAGCTCTGTCACCTTCTGTTATTGTTATTGGCCTAGAAGACAATTTTTTGTATAATCTGGTTTTCCTATATTTCTCTGAAAAATTGGCTGTTGAGAGATTATCATTTTGTTTGCAGCCGTCACGAGAAACTCACTTGGCACATCACTAATGGTTACACACTGGGATTCGGGGATTCTTTGTAATATTGAAATAACTATAAAATTGCTACAATTTTTTAAAAGATTTATTTATTTATTTATTTATTTATTTATTTATTTATTTATTTATTATGTGTGCAGTGTTCTGCCTGCATGTTTGCCTGCACACCAGAAGAGGGCACCAGATCTCATTACAGATGGTTGTGAGCCACCATGTGGTTCCTGGGAATTGAACTCAGGACCTCTAGAAGAGCAGTCAGTGCTCTTAACCTCTGAGCCATCTCTCCAGCCCTGCTACAGATTTTTTTTTTTTTTTTTTTTTTTTTTTTTTGGTTTTTCGAGACAGGGTTTCTCTGTGTAGCTTTGCGTCTTTCCTGGAACTCACTTGGTAGCCCAGGCTGGCCTCGAACTCACAGAGATCCGCCTGGCTCTGCCTCCCGAGTGCTGGGATTAAAGGCGTGCGCCACCACTGCCCGGCCAGATTTTTTAATGAGCTGCTGTTTTGTTTTGTTTTTTTTTTTCTGCTCATTTTATTCTCTCTGTTCAGTGTCAAAGAAATATTGTATTCATAAATTTTATTCATGCTCATCTGAGTAGTTGACCTGATTTCCAAACAATGTAATTTTTGACCATTTAAGATTGTATGTGCTTTTAAAGCCTGAACAAGGGCTAAGGTGTTTGCGTAACCATTACTAATTTCAGAATAATGGATGTCTGGTACGTGAGATGGGGACAGAAGAGCGCACAAAGATCTCGAGATCACAACTCCACTGGTGACATGTGCGCACATGCTACCTGTGCTCCTCTGGACATGGCATCTACATAACTTAACCGTTCCTTGCTTTTCTCATCTGTAAAATGGGGTGATATTAGCTGCCTGGAAGGGTTATTACAAGGCCTGAGAACCCTACAAGACTACACCTAATAATGGCTATTAGTAATAATAACTAAGCCTTTTGTCTTTCAGATTCTCTCATAATGGCAGGCGAGAACTTGGCGCCTCTTCCACTCCAGAGTGGGGCTGGTGAAAGGCTTTTTCCTTCTCCAAAACTCACTTTTCAAGACAGACTGTCATGAGACATCGAGCTCATTACCAACAGAAGAGACTGTGACCTTTATCAACAAAGGTGAATTAACTGAGCGGGTATTTCTAGTTCTCATTTACCCCCAAATTTCCTGTCTAGGTGTCTTCTGAGTAGGCCTCTAGTTCCTGCCTCTGCTGCGTGCACATCTGTCGGCCGGATGGCTTCCATGGTGAAATGTACAGAGCTCACACTGTATAGACTGGGTGAGAAAGAGATGCTGAAGCTTAGATGTCTCTCTGGGGGTTAAAAGAACTCTTATCCCTGAGATAAAAGTACAGCCCTCAGGGGGGGGAGTCTCTAGCATTTCCACAGAGGCATGGGTCCTTTACTTCAGGCTAACTCTAGGTCACCTCTGGAAGAAACCTCAGTCACACCTCGCCAGGACACGAGACTTCTCTGCTGACTTCTGTTCTCCCTCCTCATCCCAGTCTGCTCTGTTCTGTTCTCCCAGCTTTAGGTCCTTGACTGTCTACTCTCCTAGCTTTCTGTAACACAATAAATAATCTGTAATGAAGTCTGCAAAGAACACTTAATGATGTTTTGTCTTTGTAATAGTTAACAAATAAATCTAGGTTTTCTATATCATTGTGCTTTGTTCTTGACTAAAACCTTTAATAAGAAAAAAATTAAGATTTATTTTTATTTTGTATGTATGAATGTTTTGCCTGTGTGCATGTGTGTGCATCACATGCATGCCAGGTGCCCGTGGAGGTCTGAAGAGGATGTTGATACCACTGGAACTGGAGTTACAGACATTTGGGAACTGCCATGTGGATGGTGGGAACTGACTGTTCCTAGGTCCTCTGCAAGAACAGCAAGTATTTCTTTAACTGCTGAGCCATCTCTCCAGCCCAGCACTTGCTGCTCTTTAGAGGACCTGAGTTCAGTCCCTGCAAATATATATTGGGCAGCTCACAGCTGCTATAATGCCAACTCCAGGGGATCTGACAACCTCTCTGGTTTCCATGAGCATTCAAATACGATATAAAGACATACATCCATACACATAAATAAATAATAAAGTGATACTGGGACTGGGGGTGTAGATTAGTTGGTAGCGTGCTGGTCTAGCTGCAGGACGCCCTGTGTTTAGTTCCTAGCATTTTATAAACTAGGCCTGCTTGTATATGCCTGTAAATCCTAGCACTCAGGAGGTGGAGGTAGGAGGATCAGAAACTAAAGGTCATCCTCAGCTAGATGTCACATAAATACAAAAATAAGATATTAATACTCAGGGGCTAGAGAGAGGTCTTGGCAGTTAAGAGCTTGTACTGCTCTTGGCAGAGGATCCATGTTTGTTTTCCAACCCACACGTCAGACAGCTCATAATCAACCTGTATCTCTAGCTCTATAGGATCCCACAGCTCTGGCCTCCGTAGGCATCTGCACTCACATTTGTATGTGCATGGAAACCTGAGGCTGATATTGGAGTCTTCCTCACTTGCTCTCTACATTTATTTATTTATTTATTTATTTATTTATTTATTTATTTATTTATTTATTTATTTATTTCAGCTTTATTTATTTATTTATTTATTTCAGCTTTATTTATTTATTATGTATACATGTATGACTGCAGGCCAGAAGAGGGCACCAGATCTCATTACAGATGGTTGTGAGCCACCATGTGGTTGCTGGGAATTGAACTCAGGACCTCTGGAAGAGAACTGGAAGAGCAGTCGGTGCTCTTATCCTCTGAGCCATCTCTCCAGCCCAACTCTCTACATTCTTATTTTTTGATTTTTTGAGACAGTCTCTGTAACCCAGCCTTGGCCGGAATTACAGAGATCTGCCTGCCTCTGCCCTCTTGGTGCTGGAAATAAAGTCATGTGCCACCATGCTCATTTTTACTTTAATTATGTGTGAGTGTGGGTGCCTAAGGAGGCAAGAGTGTTGTTTTTCGGGAGGCCCACCACCCAGCTCCCAAATAAATACCACACAGAGGCTTATTCTTAATTATGAATACTCAGCCTTAGCTTGGTTTGTTGTTGCTAGCCAGCTTTTCTTAAATTAACTTGTCTGTCTTTGGCCTCGGGGCTTTTCCTGTTCTCTTATTTCTGTAAATCTTACTCTTACATCCTGGCTTGTTGGGTGGCTGGCCCCTCATGTCCTCCTTCTCTGACTACTTCTTTTTTCTTCCAGAGTGTTCCTTCGTTTATCTTCTCTGCCTGCCAGCCCCGCCTATCCTTTCTCCTGCCTCGCTATTGGCCATTTCTTTATTAGACCATCAGGTGTTTTAGACAGGCACAGTAACACAGCTTCACAGAGTTAAACAAATGCAGCATAAACAAAAGTAACACAGCTTAAAATAATTCTACAACAGAAGATGTCAGATCCTCTAGACCTGGAGCTACAGGCAGCTGTGGGCTCTGTGACGTTGCTGGGAACTGAACTTCAGGAGTAGTATGTACTTTTAAGACTGAGCCATCTCTCCAGCTCCAACCACCTGATTTCTTGAGACAGGACCACTCACTGAACCTAGACTAGACTGGTTCACCAGCAAGCTCCAGAGATCCTTCTGTCTTCCAGCTCCTGCCCCGGGCTTCACCCTTCTCCTCTCAGCACTAGAATTATGGACCCCATGCCCCATAGTAGTGCTGGGGTCCAGACTCCGGTCTTTATGTTTGTACGGAAGGCACTTTATAGACTCGGTCGGCCATCTCCCCAGACCGAGTTAGTTCCGTTGTGTTAGGAGCATGAAGTTAATACAATGTGTAGTTTCTATCGGGTCTTCCATGAGGTGAGTCTTAAAACATTTAGACTTGCTGATGCTGTGTGGGTCAGGGGTAGTTTGAAGTTTAATCAGCCCTTGCTGTATGGTTTCCATAAGCACCTGGGTAGAATCCATGAGGCTGATCTTTAGAATTCTAGCTTAGCTTATGCCTCTTTGTTTTTGAGACACTGTGTATCTCTGCCTAGTCTAGAACTCAGCGATTCACCTGCCTCTGCCTCCACCTCCCAAGTCTTGGGATTAAAGGTGTGTACCACCACGGGTGGCTCATACCTGGATTTTCTGTGGCCTTTGAAAGAAGGGTGTATGAGTGATTTGGGGTTGTCACCTGATTAGCAGCTGGGTCCCTCAGATCCCCAACAGTCTAGAGTTCTTTGCAGCAGTTTTTCACAGTTTCTCATTTTGCAAAGTAAGCAAAAAAAAAAATTTCCCCCCTTTTTGTATCTTTTTAAACTGGAGTCAGAAGTTTTGAATTTGTTAGACTAAACCAGGTGATAGGCCAGTTGAAGAGAAACTAAGAATTTCCGAGGCCTCGTCAGTTGCAGCCACTGCCCTGGGTTCTTCCCATATTTGGTTTGTGATAGTAACTGGTCCATGAGGTAGCAATGACGTTTTTAGCACCCATGATGTAGAGGAGGAGCTGAGTTCTGGAGAGAGGACTCCCTTAAGGTTATGTGGATATTGAACTGGTTTTTAAGCCTATTTTTCAAAACACAGCACAGCCTTAGTGCCTGCCAGCAACTGGCACTATGTGCGAGCTCCCACCTACAAACCTCTCTGCTCTAAGTTTAACGTACCCAGGATTTTATCCTAGAAATGTGCTCATTCTTCAGTAGGGGGCCAAGACTTGCTCGTGAATTAATTATACAAATTTCACTGAGCATCTTTCTAATGAAGTGGTTCTCAACCTATGGGTTGCATCCCTTTGGGGGTTGAATGACCCTTTCATGAGGTCATCTAAGATAATCAGAAAACACAGATATTTATATTATGGTTCATAACAGTAGCAAAATTAGTTATGAAGTAGCAACAAAAATAATTTGGTGGTTGAGGTCACCACAACATGAGGAACAGTATTAAAGGATGAGGCATTAGGAAGGTTGAGAACCACTGGTAAAGGAATGAGTTTCAGGAGATTCTGTGTACTCGTCCTTCTGTGGGATTTACTGTGGTCGGCCTGCTACTGCAGGTGACACAGTCCAAAGGCAGGGACCAGGCGTCTGATCTACGTTAGCAGACATCTGGGCCTACTCTCTCCCCTGTAAATGAGGGTGTGATACTTTCAAAGACTTAACTATCATTCTGTAATGCTAGACATTTACATCCATAGCCTTGAGGGGAAAAGGTCAGGTCAGACTGCTTAAAAATGAAACTCAGCCTGCCTCAGGAGTCAGAACTCTGTGAGTTCGAGGCCAGCCTGTTCTACATAGCCCCAGATCAGGGCTATATAGTGGAGACCCTGTTTCAAAAACGAAAGAAAAATAAATTAATTTGTAATTATCAGCAAGCCAACATTTCCTGATTCTACTTTAGCTTTAATTTTTCATTTTTGAGTTTAATTTTGTTACTGAAATTGTCCTGTTTACATGATCTTGTAGACATTCTTCTCTTCTTCCAAGTCTGACTCATTGAACTGTCCCAGAACAGAGCTAGCAGTTACGTTCTCACGTCTGTCATTAAAAACAAGCAAGCAGAAACATGCTGGGCTTGGAAACATGCCTTACCTCTAAGAGGAACTGGCTGCTCTTCCAGGGCATCTTCTGGCCTTTAGAGCCACTGCATACACTTGGTGCATAAACATATGTATAGGCAAAACCCATACACATAATCGTGTCTAGTTGGAAGGATTTCAGAATTTCAAATGAGAAGTCAGACTAGGTATGGTGGTGTATGCGTGTAATCTCAGCGCTTGAAAGGTAGAGAGGCAGGAGAATTGGGAGTTTGAGGCTAGCCTGGACAATATAATTAGACCCTATCTTTTAAAGAGAAGTAGTTGAGGGATGAGGGCGCTAAATAAGGGTATATACGGGAACTGGTACTGCTTGGAATTGTTCAGATTGTTTTAGAGAATTAATCATTGGTATACAGAAAGTGCTTACCACAACAGTACCTAGAAAGTAGCTTAATACCTGTTCATTATTGGCAAGGTTAGTACTGGCTTCATCTGTCTGTCTGTCTGTCTGTCTATTTTGAGGCAGGAGCTTGGGATGCCCAGACCGGCCTCGAATTTGCCTGTAGTTTAGAATGACCTTGAACTTTTAATCCTCCCGCCTCTACCTCCTAAAATGGAGATTATCAACATGTGCCACCACACCCAGTCTTAATGTGGTTCTAGGGATCCAACTCAGGGCTCTTGCATAACAGGCAGACACCTCCAGCTGAGCTGCATCCCAGCCCTAATACTGACTTCCTGAAGAGAAGCTAACTAACTGTAACCCATCATGAGATTAGAATACATCTAAGAAACTCGAAATGTAAAATTCCACTAAGCAGTTAAACACGGAGTCGTCTGTGCTTTTGAAATCGCACCTGCAGGCCTGTCACTGCAGGGTCCTGCTCTTGCTCTGTAAACAGATCCGATGCTCTGGTGTCTAGTTTGCAGAGCACCAGATGAGGAGAGGGAAGGAGCTGTAGCAGTCATTTCAACAGGAGCAATGAATTCCGACAGCATTGTGACGAAAGCAAATACACAGTCCGTCCAAATAAACGGTCTGTATGCACTCTACTGCAGAGATAAGATACTTGCTCAGCGTGAAGGTGGTGCAGCAGTTTTCATAAAACGAAATCCATCCAAGTGAGAAGCCATTAGAGGGCTGAGGGTTTAGCTTCGTGGTGGAGCACTTACCTAGCATACACAAGCCTGGGTTCATCCTCGTGGTGGAGCACTTACCTAGCGTACACAAAGCCTGGGTTCATCCTCGTGGTGGAGCACTTGCCTAGCATACACAAGCCTGGGTACATCCTTGGCATCACTCCCTCCCCCCCAAAAAAAGTGGGAAAAAAATGGACAAGAGAGCAACAATAAACCCAATCCATAAAGGAAGTTAGGGACCAGGAGTGGTCACATCGTGTGAATCCTTGCTGATGTAGACAGGTTTACCAAAGGTTAAAGATTCAGTGTGGTAGCTGGCCTTCTGTGTGTATGTTGCAAAACACCAGAGATCCTCTGGCCCCTCTCAGTTTTTGTAATGGAAGCACACTGGCCTTGTCCAGATTCACACAGGAAGGATTTGTAGATACTGGTTTATGAGAAATGTACATTATCTACTGCAATTGTTGAGTCTAAAATATGTGTGTATGGATGGCTGGTAGAAAATATAAGTGAGAGAATAAGCACAGTTTTATTTGACTAAGCTGTGGTTACCATATGTTAGTATGATAGGAGCTAAGGATCTAGCAGGCATGTTTGTGACAGTGATTGTCCAAATGACTTAAACTCCATAAGTAGAAAGTACTTGAGATCATTGGAGATAAGGTACTAGAGTGAGGGGGCTAAAAAGAGGTTAGAATTGGAGGTTAGAGTATTTGGACTCCTGCATTTGGTTGACTGATAATGACAAGCTTGTAGCTAAGGTGGAGTTCAGGTAGAGCGAAACACACGCTAGCGAAAGGAGAGACAGCCAAGGAACTGAGGCCAGGACACTGGAAGGATCCTTTTGTGAGTTTCGATTACCAAGACACAGAGCAGTGTTCCACAAGGAGGCTGCAACTAAGATCTTAAAAGGGGGTGGGAGAGATGGTTCAGTGGTTAAGAGCACATACTGCTCTTCCAGAGGACCTGAGCGCAGAACCAACCACCTGGAACTCTAGCTCCAGGGGACTCAACAGCTGCCTTCTGGCCTTCACAGGTACCTGCACACACATGGCATATATTCACACAGACACATTAAAATAAAGTTTTTTCTTTAATGAAGGAAAGAGTTGTTTATTTTGCTTAATGGTTTCAGAAGGATGAGAGTCCATTGTGGCAAGGTAGAGGCATGGTGGCAGGAAGTCGACAGAACATATCTTTAGCCACAAATACACAGCAGAGCAAACGGAAACAGGGCTAGGTTATGAATTCTCAAAGGCCACCCTGTGAAATACTTTCCAGAAGACTGCACCTCCTAAATCTTCCCCCAAATAAAAGACCACTCGCAACTCAGCAGAGAGGACAGGAACTTTCACCTCAAGGCCCAGTGGGCAGGAAATGGCAGAAAAAAGTGCCACCCTGAGAGGCCTGCAGGGCAGACGGCAGAGTCTGTACCGGAATCACTGCTGGAGTTCAGAGGTCGGCGTTTCCACAGTAACAACCCCTCCCCTTCCGGTCAAGCCGGAGCACGCATGTTAGTGAAATGAATAAAATCTTCTATGTTCTGTGAAGAGCCATGACACGTTAGAAAACTCGGCTTCATTTTGGAAGTTAAAGGGTGATTTTAAGGGGAACAGTCCTTATTTGGTAGTGTTGCCAGTATGGAATGCAGGCCTCAAATTTGAAGAGAAGCCAGAACTGAGTTTTTGGGTAAAGAAATAGGTGAAAGTGGCCTGATACAGGCTAGGCCTGATCGAACATGACCTCACCGCTACTTGAGTTAAGAGCAGGCCATCACCTACCTCGCTACTCCGAAGTCATCTTGTGTTGTCCCCTTGAGTCCTCTTGTTAAGATTATTTTTCTAAAAGATTTCATTTGGAGGCAGGTGTAGGGGATGTACACTTCTGGAGGAAGTATGTCACTGGAGCAGGGCTTTGAGAGCACATGCATTCAGTCACCCCGTCACAGTTTTGAAACCTCTCATTTAAGTACTGTTACATATTAATACATGATAAAGCTGCTCATTAGCTCTCCAGCTGGCTTCCTTGTTGGACCTAGTGATGCACTGTCCCAGCCACTGTGAGCCCACCACCACTCAGTGCTTATGTTACCGGGCAGCCTCCCAGCTGAATGTTCATTATTACTCAAGCAGATCATATCTCATCCCCCCATAAAACCAGTATTGTGGTTGAGGAATATGCATAGCTTGTATGGCCTGGAATTTTTGTAATTAGACTTCAAGGCCAGTAGGATGGCCCGGTGGGGTCAAGGCATTGCAGCACAAGCCTGGTGACCCGAGTTCCATCACCAGAACCTAAGTAAAGATGGAAGTAAAGATCCATGGAGATGTGCTCTGATCTCCACATGCATGCCATATCCTGCACTTACACATTTTACACACAAAATAATGAAATAAAATTTTAAATAAAACAATTTGGACTTCGTAATAAGGCTTCCAGTGAAGAAAAGTTGAAGGCATTTTAAACTTCAAGAAGTATTAATAAGGGCTGAAGAGATGGCTCCATGGTTCAGAGCACATGCTGCTCTTCCAGAGGACCTGAGTTTAGTTCCCAGCACCCATGTGGCAGCTCACAACCACCTGCAACTCCAGCTCCAGGGGATCCTCTTCTGGCCTCCTTGGCTACCTGCACATACGTGTGCACACATACACATGCACTCACATGCACATACAAAAGAATACAGAGGAAATAGTTTCTAAATTTATTAAAAAAGAATTTAATGTTTTCTTCAGAACCTTTTCCTCCAGTCAGTGATGACTGAAAAGAATTTTTGTTGTCGAAATGTTAGTGTAGAATTACATTTCCCTCTTTGACGTTGGGTGAGGGTCACAAAGCACACCTCTAGGCTTAGCTTCTGATCTTGTAAAATAGAGGTTAGGAATTCATTTCCACATTTTGTCATTATAATGTCATTGAGCATGTCAGTCTATCATTACAGAAATATAGCAACATAGAAAGAAAACCTACCTGTGTCTCTAGGTAGCTGTCAAGTGCAATTGAGAAAGTGAAAAGAGCAATCTTGGCTCTGTGGGGGTGTTTATTCTATTAAAGACAATTTAGCTGAAATTGTCTACTTAAGAGAAATATTTTAGGTATTAGAATATATTTAAAATCTAGGAAGCCTGAGGCAGATGTGGTAGTATCTACTTATAATCCTAGCACTCAAGAGGATGGTGAGTTGAAGGCCAGCCTGGGCTACATCATGAAAGCCCATACCCCTGAACAAAAACAAAACAAACCCTGGTTGTGGCAGCACACTCCTTAATCCTAGCACTTGGGAGGCAGAGGCAAAAGGATCATTGCATGTTTGAGGCCAGCCTGGTCTACACAGGAAGCTTCAGGCCATCGGGCCACAAGTGAGACCCTGTGTCAAACCAGTGGGAAACCTGTAGATGAGTGGATATAAAACCAGCTTTTCTATTAAAAGATGCCGTGATTGATAGTGTCACTAAGATGTGGCTGCAAAGCACCTTCTCTGGCTCTGTGAGCTTTGAAGTCCAGTTCATTCAGAGGGACACAACACAGAATTTCTTTGGTCCTGCACAACCAGCTGTCCTTCCCCAGTTGACTTTGTGGTCATCTGGTTTTCATCACAGTGAGTAATCACCTTGGATTTATAGAGGTTTAATGAATGAGCCTTTTCTAGCAGCATTTAATACATCACTCAAAAGAATGAGCTTAACTGACAAATACAGGCCACCCCATTTTCACAGTCATTTTAAGTCCAGGTAGTGAAAACATTAAGACACCTTCCACAAAGGAGGTTGAAACAGTGACAAGTCCAGTGCGGCTGGAGTTTGAAAGGTGATCACATCTGTCATGTCCAGCTTGACTGTCCTGTGACTCAGTTTGAGTCCTTGGGAGTAGTTACTCCTTTTTATTAGTCATTTGGTTGTTATGCAGCCATGGAAGGAAAAAGCTGAACGTCAGGATCATCAGCAACACACCTGAAAAACAAGACCCAAAGTCTGTAGGAAGGTGGTAGTGACTGGGTACAATCGAGACAGCTGATCTCACACCTCTCTTCAGTTCTTAAAATGATTGTGTGGGCAGTAAGACTAGGGGCGATCACCGTGGCTTCAAATGGCACTGAACCCAAGTGTTAGAACTTCCGCGTCATTACAGATTTGGTGAGAAACCCTGGGCTTGAGTCATTTGTTCCTCTGCAAAGGGGCAGCGCTTTCTCCAAGCCTCAGAGGGGCTTGGGAGGCAGAACCTCACAGCATTGTGGGGTGGTGGTGGTGGTGGTGGTGGTGGTGGTGGTGGTTTAAAGTAGAGCAGACAGATTAAGGAAGAGAAACATCTGGAGAGTAGCTGGGGCTCCGGGGGAGGAGTACATTGACAGCTAGCTCCCTTGGGACGTTCACCCAGAATGTCCAAGTATGTCTGTTAGGCTCTTGCTCTTTCTTCATGAGCCCCACCGTAGTGGGTTTTACAAATGTATCACATAAAACACCTAAAACCAGTGCTTAAGTCTTCAAGTATAGTTAAAAAAATGACTTGCATATTAGTGATGCTTCATTTTGGGCTTGCTATGTTTTGCAGTGTTGTGACTCAAATGAAGGCTTTAGATACACCAGACAGGCTGTGACCACTGAGTAGCGCCTCCAACCCCAAATCTTCAGTCTTTTTCAATTTTTATAAATTACTTTTATTGTATAGGTGTTCTGCCTATTTTATTTAGCTGATGACTAAATAAAAGCAAGAAATGCAGATAACATAAATACTGATAATATATAAAGTGCATATTATTATAGTTATGTTACTTGATCCCTCTTTTTTTTTTTTTAAGATTTATTCATTGTGTATACAGTGTTCTGCCTGCAGGCCAGAAGAGGGCACCAGATCTCATTACAGATGGTTGTGAGCCACCATGTGGGTGCTGGGAATTGAACTCAGGACCTCTGGAAGAGCAGCCAGTGCTCTTAACCTCTGAGCCATCTCTCCAGCCCCTACTTGACCCCTCTTTAAAAGAATTTTTGTTTTTCTGATACTGTGGATGGAGCCTCGGGCATACTAAGCAAGCAATCGGTGGGCCACGTCCCCATCCTGATCTAGATTGCGTTAACATGAATGGGACTTAGTCATTTAGAGGCTATATTGACTACAGTGTTGTCGCACAGAATGCTCTTTGACAAATAAGAAAAGCAACCTAAATGGTTAAATGACATTTGGTTTGGAACTCACAAATTTGGGGAAAAGAATTATTTAGCAAAAAGTAAAAGTTGGTTGGTTGATTGATTTTATTATTTTAAGATAAGTTTTCTGTAGCCCAGGCTGGTCTCAAACTCAGTGTGTAGTTGAGGGAGACCTTGTACCTCTGAACCTCCTGCCTCACTTCCCAGGTATGAGGTTACAGACATCTACCACCATACCCAGCTTTCTGCAGTGCTGGGGATGAACCCAGGGCTGGGTAAGCACTCTACCAACAGAGCCACATCCTTGGCTATTAAAAAAATAATTGTAGCCGGGCGGTGGTGGCGCACGCCTTTAATCCCAGCACTCGGGAGGCAGAGGCAGGCGGATCTTTGTGAGTTCGAGGCCAGCCTGGTCTAGAGAGCGAGATCCAGGAAAGGCGCAAAGCTGCACAGAGAAACCCTGTCTCGAAAAAAACCCAAAAAAAAAAAATAAATAAAATAAAAAAATAAATTGTAGTACTAGAAATAGAACCCAAGGACTCGTACGTGCTAGGTGAGTTCACTACTGAGCTGTATCCTCATCCTGTTTCTACATTGTATTTTGGGACAGCCTCAGTAAGTTGTCCAGGCTGGACTTAAAATTGCTTTGTAGCCCAAGCAGCCCTTACACTTGCAATCCTCCTGCCTCAGCCTCCTGAATAACTAGAATTTGAGGCTGCACACCAGGCCCAGCTAAAGATTAATTTTGGATGGAAGTAACGACCCTTTACTGCCCCCTCCTAGTAGGGAAGTGCTAAACTATATCTGCAGCCCTCTTTGAAAACACAGTATTAGGAGCTGGGGAGTGGGCTCAGTGGATAGCGTTTGCTGTGTGATCGTGAACCTGAGTTTGGACCCCAGGCACCCACATAGAAGTTGGGTGTGGCAGCATGTGCCTTGTAAGCTCAGCACTTGGAAGTAGGGACAGAGATGGATAGACACTTAACTCGATGGCCAGCCAGTCTAGCTAAAACAAGAGAGCACCAGGTTCAGTGAAAAACCCTGTCTTAAAATAATCCCGTCACTTGGGAGGCAGAGCCAGGCTGTGAGTTCGAGGCCAGCCTGGTCTACAGAGCGAGATCCAGGACAGGCACCAAAACTACACAGAGAAACCCTGTCTCGAAAAACAAACAAACAAATAAATAAGTAGAGAGGGATAGCCCCCCAAACCCCCTCTAGCCTCCCTCCACACGTACACACGGGCGAGTGTACCTGCACACACAGCTTCAAAGGACACTGCACAAAATAGAAATGCTTTTCAAGCACGTTAACTAAGTTGTTTTATTTTCTTTCTTTTTCTTTTTTTGTCTATTCTCTGGCTTTAGAAATTGACAGTATAGCATTCTTGAATGTTGGGTTTTTTGTTTTTGTTTTTATTTTTTTCTTTTTAGTTTTTCAAGACAGGGTTTTTCTGTGTAACATCTCTGGCTGTCCTGGAACTTGCTTTGTAGACCAGGCTGGTGTGGAGGGGCCCCAAGACAGCTTGACCACACAGCTGCCATGACAGGCTTAGGGGCCCAGACACAGCTTCTGTGACAGGCTTACTGGCAGGCAACACCCAGATCCAGGAAAAGCCATAAGCTGACACCACCTAGAGATCTACCCAGGGATGGGGAAGTATCTAACATCCCAAACATTCCAACCATTAGATAAGGTGGCCAGATGTCCCTGAGTCTAGCACACACCTATTTTTGTTTTACAGATACCCAACCTCTGCTATGATAAAAACCCCACCCTGCCTGGACTCAGGGCTCTCTGCTCTCACTGCTGTGTCAGACAGACAGAGGGACCAAGCTCAGAGCTTGAAAATAAAGGCTCTTTGCTTTTACATGTGGAATTTGGTCTCTGTGGTGGTCTTTTGGGGGTCCCCTCAATCTGGGCATAACAGCTGGCCTCAAACTCACAGAGATCCGCCTGCCTCTGCCTCCCGAGTGCTGGGATTAAAGGTGTGCACCACCACTCCCGGCTCATACATCATCGTATTTTAAAACATGATATTTTACATTATTTAACCTTGGGGGCTGGAGAGATGGCTTATCAGTTAGGAGCACTGGTTGCTCTTCAGAGCAATTGGTTTAAAGTTCCAGCACCCACATGGCAGCTCACACCCATCCGTAATTCCAGTTCCAGGGGATCCAAGGGCACTAGGCACACAAACAGTACACCTATGCATGCAAAACACCGTACACAACATAAATTGATTTTTAAATATCCTAACCTAGAATAAATAGAAATACACTTACCTAGAGAAGGGGCAAGCCAGTATACTACAAAAAACTGGTAGAAGTTCTCATCGAAGCAGGGGAAGTGCAGAGAGAGCGCCAGAGCTGGGTTGAACAGCGCCCCCGTGAGGCTCCCTCCTGTGATGGCAACAGAGGGAAAAGACATTAAAGAGAAAATCAAGTTAAAATGAGTACAGTAGCCCAGTAGCCCAGGATCCTCCTGAGTACACACATGCCTTTGTATTAAAAATGGAAAGGAAAATAAACCAAAGCATTACTATTGGATCCATCTTTACTCATCAGCAGAGTCCCTAAGTGACGGAACGGCAGGACTCAAGAAAGCAGTTATAAAAATTAAGAAACGAGAGCCGGGGACATAGCTTGGAGGGCCAGAGTGCTTGCTGTCTGAGTATGAAGGAAGACCTGAGTTCAAGTCCTCAGATGTGCTCATAACCGCAGCATTGGGGGGTGAAGACAGGAGGCTTCCTGGAAGCTTGGTGGCCAGCCAGCCTAGCCAAAATGGCCCCCTTCAGATATAATGTGAGACCCTGTCTCAAGGAAATAGGGTGGAAAGTGATGAAAACACATTCAACATCCTCTGGCTTCTTCACGCATATACATGGATGGACACACGCACACATACACACAAAGCATAAGTGACTAGGTAGAAAGCATGAAGTCCATCAGCGGAGTGGACAGACTCATGTTCCAGCTCTACAGAGCCTAGGGGTTTATGGTTCCGATCACACAGCCCACAAGGGAAGGAGGGCTGTATGGCCAACACTACTGCACAGAGCTGTGGCAGTGTATTTGCCAACACCCTCCGAGTGCCCCACGATTTCGGCTAGTTCTTCCAGGTGGAGGCTCCTTCACTCACATGCAGTTTGACAGGGACATAGCCTCCCATTGTAGCATGTCAACTGTCTTGATGAAACAGGGTCACGTGGAGCTGGGAATTAGGAGCCTTTCCTGGGACTTAACCCAGTGCGATTGATTCCCAGGCCAAGATCAGCGGTGTTGAGAGGAAGCCATTGAGGGATGGACTACATTCACCAAATGGCCGAGGTTTTCTCTAGCATACCAGCCTGACAGCACAATTGCTAGTGGTGCCTCGGCAGTTATAAAGGATGTCATCTGAGGACATCAGAATCATTCCTGAACAGTCACCCTGGAATGCTAAACCGAATGAGATTTGGCTACCCTTAGCATTCAAGAGAATTGTTTGATTGGCAGCCGCTCATTTTGGTTTCCACAGAAACAAAAAGTAAATTGAGCCCCTTTGTGTTAGAAACACCATGGGAAGAAAGATTAGGACTTCCAGCTCTTTGTAATGTTACGACTTACGATCATACAAATGCCCTGCGGCTTTTAAAGGCATTTGTCATTAGAAATGCCCCAGCCATTGACCTCACAGCTTGACCGTTTGCTTCAGGACGGCAGGTCATGGCAGATGGAGACGGTTACGTCCAACATCATGAAACCTCTTACGTCCTAACACTCAAGCTGTTCTACTTCCCTGTCTCCAACCCTCACAGCACCAGAGCGCTTCAGAGGCTGTGGGAACTGCTCCTAGGACTGGGACATCCCTCAAATATGGGTTGGCTCTGTGACCTGAGTTGACAAAGTGCAGCAGAGGTCATGCTGAGTTCTGAGTGCAGAATTCAGAATCGCTGTGTTGTTTCCAACCCCCACTTTTCTGCTCTCTTGGAATAATGCCCTGAACCTGTGCATAGTAGTCTAGGCTGCTGGAGGATGACAGGCTACGTGGAGGGGAACCAAGGTGCCCCCCAGGACAAGCAGCAGTAGCCAGGTGTGAGTGAGCAAGGGCTCTTAGAGGCTTTTGACCCCACTGCCGTCCTGCTGAAATGAACGCAGCTGCACGAGTGATCTCAGAGGGTTGGCCCATCTCACCCCAAAATGAAAGCGTATACTCAACATCAACATGGCCTGGGTTTTCACATGTGCACACACACACATACACCCCCCACACACACACACAGATTGTTAAACAACTGGATGGAAAGTACAAAGAATCATGAGAAATAAATAATTATTATTACTTTTAGAGTTTGGAGATGGTTTGTTACATACCAACAGCTGTAACTAAAACAGTCTTCCACATCAATTGTGGCTTATGTGTTAACAAAAGCCCCAAACAGGGCATTTGCTGTTTCACTGTATAATTCTTTTTTTTTGTTCTTTTTCGAGACAGGGTTTCTCTGTAGCTTTGGAGCCTGTCCTGGAACTCACTCTGTAGACCAGGCTAGCCTTGAACTCACAGAGATCCGCCTGGCTCAGCCTCCAAAGTGCTGGGATTAAAGGCATGCGCCACCACCGCCGGGCCTCACTGTATAATTCTTGGTGTTAGAGGCTGTCCCGTGTACTTCAGGACATTTAGTGACATCTTTGGTCCCTCTCCATTAGATGCTGGTAGCCCACCCCTTCCCAACTTCGAAACTATCAAAACCTCAGATAGCCCCAGATGTCCCCAGATGAGAACTTCTGTCCTAAAGTAACACTGATAGTTATGTACAAGAAGACACATACAAGGTTGTTCATTTACAGCAAAGACGTGGGGAGATCTAAATGTCCAGAAAGGTGGTTAGACAGACTTATTTGGAATATATGCACTATTATGAAGGAATTAGAATTTCTATGAACATACATCTCCAAGATAAACACTAAACAACATGGAAAAGAAGAGAGGATATGCTTTTATGTTTGCATGAACACAATCATTAGATTTGGTTTCATAAATTAATACCTACATGTTTAATAAATAAATGAAAGCTAGAATGGAGCAAAGTTAAGGGTTTTTTTTTTTTTTTTTTTTTTTTTTTGGTTTTTCGAGACAGGGTTTCTCTGTGTAGCTTTGCGCCTTTCCTGGATCTCGCGCTGTAGACCAGGCTGGCCTCGAACTCACAGAGATCCGCCTGCCTCTGCCTCCCGAGTGCTGGGATTAAAGGCGTGCGCCGCCACCACCGCCCGGCTTGTTTTGTTTTTTTAGTTTGTATTTTTAGATGGTCCTATAGGAAAAGGGCAGGGCACAATCTTAAGACAGGTGAGGGCTCCTCTGGAGACAGGCCTGCTAGGTGCCATAGAGTGGTTGATTCACCCTGTGGCTTTCTAGGTTCCATTTCTCAAATGATGTCATGGACAAGAAAGTTTAAGGATTAAGCAAAACTTAAAAATTCAGAGTTTAAAAGTAAAGCCAGGCATGCCCGCAGGCCTTTGAGGCTGGCACGGCCCAGCTCTTCCTGAGAAGTCAGGGATCCTGTGCTGCCTCCCTCAGGTGTGGTTCTAGCCGGGAGGGAATTCCTCCTCAGGGTGCTGGTGGCTGTGTTGGGCTGTCTTCTTGCTTCCCTGCTGACTGAAGGAGATGTGAGCTCGATTAGCAATCCTGCAGAAATGGTCCCGTTGTACAGGAGATCCGTGGGAAACTGCAGGGCAAAGGAATAAGGACCAAAGCAGCATTTCCTCATTTGCTGCATGCCAGGAAGAAACTGCAGGTCGGAAATGCAATTCCTCACACCTGCTGAGCTAGTGGTATCCATCCTAAAGATCAGGAAACTGAGGACACACATACCCAAGGACACAGCCCAACTCAGCCTGGCCTCTTAACTACAAAATTAGACCGGTGTGGTACAAAGTTTGGGACCCTTGTTTAAACTACTTTTCTGTTTGTTTGTGTTTATTTGGTGAGGGGAATGCGCCTGAGTACCTTAGCATTTATGTGGTGGTCAGAGGACAGGGATCAAACTCAGGTCGTAAGGCTTGGTGGCAAGCGTCCTTAACCTACTGAACCATCTCACCTGTCCAGAAACGAATCTGTATTTGTAAATTGGTGATTGTATCCATTTTATCTTGTTCCTGTTTTTTTTTTTTTTTTTAAAGATTTATTTATTATGTATACAGTGTTCTGTCTGCACGTATCCCTGCAGGCCAGAAGAGGGCACCAGATCTCATTACAGATGGTTGTGAGCCACCATGTGGTTGCTGGGAATTGAACTCAGGACCTTTGGAAGAACAAGCAGTGCTCTTAACCTCTGAGCCATCTCTCCAGCCCTCTTGTTCCTGTTTTAAATGAGGACACGTATAAAGCTCTTAGTTCCTTTTTCTTCGGACAAATAATCTCACCTACAGGCATGGCCGGAAGGATACTAGAAACCCAAAAGGAGCGATGGGATGAAGAAAGAATACTAGAGTTTCTCCAGGGAGGGCCGGGGAGGGGAGGCTAGTCCAAAAGTCTGACTGCTTACTCGGTGCGGTGCTACTATGCTGAGTCCTAGGCCTCGATTCCGGAAAGCATGCCTGATCTGTAGTCATAGCTTATCGTATGTAGGGGACACAGGCATTATGTCACAGACGGTGTAGAATTTAAAATTCTACACATGAGAAACAGTACAACAATAAAGACAACTTACATGTTTAAAATAACATTGGTTCGACATTTCCAGGCCTGGCGTCGCATGCCTGGAATCCCAGCTGTTCAGGAAGCAGAGGTGGGGGCCATCAAGATGGCTCCGAAGCTTAAGGTACTTGCTTGGGCAACCTGAGTACCATGAGGGACCCACGCGGTGGAAGGGGAGATTTGACTCTCTCAAGTTGTCCTCAGACCTCTACATATGTGCTACAGTATGCACACACACCCCACCCCACCCCACATATACATACACAACAAATAAATGTGACTTTTTTAGAGAAAGGAAGCTGAGGTGGAAGGATCAATTAAGTTTTGAGTTTGAGAGCAACCTGGATAACAACCTAGCAAGAAAAGACTCCATCTTTAAAGAAAAAAAGGCTAGTTCATGGCTCTGCTTACAGGAATGACAGTGGCTTCGGCTTGCACAGGACAATTCAGAGTGCTGGGTGAAGCATGTGTTTAGCATTCACCGGGCCATAGGCCTCGTTTCCAACCACAACATGGGTACTAAGCAACGAAGACACAATTCTCGGAGCCCGTAGCTCTGCCGCTCAAATCCCTATTAGACATTCAACTAGTCCAAGGCGGTCCATTCTCCGGGGAATGTTACGACTTACATACGGAAAGTGATAGGAATGATAAGCTTAAGCGTGGCCATTTCCAAGGTGGGTTCTCTTGGGCTACACACTCTGGACAAAAGGACCTCAAGCCTGTCCCACACCCTCCTCTTGGAGTTCCACACTACACAGGAGCAAAGTGATGTCTCTAAGACCTTAAAATTAGAAACCTGTTTAATCCAGAGTTTAAGAATTTAGTGGCAACAGAATCACGTAATAATTAAGAATTTTAAATTCTCACACATATGTCATAAAGCATGCCATTTGCTGGTCTGTGTATTCACAGTGCCATTTGGACATCAGCACTGTCTTTTCCCAAACGTCTTCCAGCCCCTAAAGTTTTCCCAGTGCCTTCTTTTCCATCCTGTTTCTGATAGGATCTTGTGTAGCCTAGGCTGGCCTCAAATTCACTATGTAGCCCAGGCTTACCTGAATTTATCATCCTCTTGCGGCAGCTTTCCAAGTACTGGGTTACAGGCCTGACCACCACGCCTGACCCAAAGTTTTCAACAAGCTTTTCACTGCTTCAAACACAAATCCTGCACCCACTCAGTAACACATCCCACCCATCCTTTTCTCATCCCCTGTTCTAGTCACCGCTATTTACTTTCTTAGCCTTTGAATTTGCCTGTTTTATGTATTTCCCGGAAGTAGAGTCACCTAGTATTAGCCCTTTGGTGTCGTAAAGTTCATCTATGTGGCATACATCAGAACTTACTCTCTTTTATAGCCATGTAGTATGTGATTGGGTGTGCTTTTGTAACTCTTGAACACACTACAGAAATTCTGATAATGACATGAGTGTTAAAGTGACACTCAGCAGTGTGAGCCCTGGTTCCAGACTAGACTGTCTGTAACCCAAGGCACGACATTTCTCATGAGTGTCACTTGCTTTACTTCACATGGGAAAAATAATAATGTGCTCATCCACAGATAATTGTAAGAATTAAGATCACTTATAAATCCCAGTAAAGTGATTTGGTATATAGCAGATACCCAGGGGGTACTCATCTCCCTTATATTGGTAGAAAGACAGTGGGAAAAAATACATATGTAATAGATTGTGAATTCATGTAGCTTTATAACTCGCTGTGTATTTGGCTCCACCCCTGCAGTCGCAAGCCCTGCCCAGAACTGTAGTCACCAGCTACAGTACAATGTGAGGAGTGAATGTGACATGTGTCTCCTGTCTAGGAAGCACTGAAGCATTCATCTAAATAGGCAGGTGGGGCTGGTGGCCACTGAGCTGGACAAGGCAGGTCTGGACTCTACAACAGTGTTCCCAACCGTGGTTTCACAGTGGGATCACCTGGAGAAAGTTACACTATGCCACCGCCCAGGCTCCTTCCCAGAGCAGTTAAGATTCTAATAGTTGCACCAGGTGGGCATATTTTTAAAACTCCTCCAGCGATTTGAAAAGATTGTTGAGAACCTCTGATGATTGGTTTACCCCCGAGTATTCACATTTCAAGAACCGGGCAGAGTTTCAGATCCCTTCAACAGACATTCTAGAGTCCTTCTCCATTCGCTTTTCCCTTATGAATGACTTCAGGTGTCACCTTGCTGCCCTTTGGAATGGCATTTTTACCCCTTGGGTGAGACCAGGGCCAATCGCATATGCAAGTGTTCTGCCTCTGAATGACATTCCTAGCCCAGGAAGAGTTAATAGTATATACATTATTTATGGAATCCTAACTTGGTACTAAAAGCACAAATTACAGGAAGAACAGCAACTTCACAACAGACGCCGGAGGAGTAATTCGAGGTGAGAAGGATCCAGGAGTCATTAATGTTTTCTTTTTCTTTTTAAATTATAAAACAATCTCAATTTTTTGTTTTTTGTTTTTAGAGACAGGGTTTCATGTAGCCCAGGCTGGCCTCAAACCCAGCATGTAGCAGAAGATGACCGGAACCCTCCTGCCTCTACCTCTCCAGTACTGGGACCACAGGCACGAATCAGCTGCCCAGCTCTTTGCTGCTTTGATTGACAAATACAAACTGCACTGTGGCATTCTACTGCACATGAAGAGCAGTGTTCCTGCTTTAGCTGAAACTCCTCCCTGGCCTCTCAGAAATGCACGGGCCCTCTTCTGTTACCCCACACAACGTGTTTTCATGTGTCTACTCAAAAACTAGTACTAGATTCAAAGAAGGGAAAATTGTGTAGTCTTTCATGTTCCCTTAGGAAGCCAAGCATGCATTTGAAGTATACTTCTACTCAGTTGCCGGGAATTTTGTTTGTCACACCAGGGACTGAACCCAGACCCTAATGAATGCTAGGAAGAGCTCTTTACCACTGAGCTACATTACCATAGTTTCACTTTGAATAGGTAGAAGATAAACTATTACTATAAGTTTCCTTTATTATATCCATGCCTCTAAAACATTTTATAATTCCACTATAATCCCAGTAAAGTATTTCATTATTTTAAATGACACAGTAAAGCTGGGCAGTGGTGGCTGTGAGTTCGAGGCCAGCCTGGTCTACAGAGCGAGATCCAGGACAGGCACCAAAACTACACGGAGAAACCCTGTCTCAAAAAAACAAACAAAAAAATTTAAAATAAAAAAATGATACAATAAGGTACATTTTATCATTAAACAATTTTTGAATTCCTCCTGCAGCTGAGGTTTGTCAAGGTAAATAAGTAAGACTTCTGGAGATTGTCTCTGGTTTTTGTTTTGTTTTCCTTATACAGAGTGTCAGACTTCAGTACTGTCTGGCCTTCAATTTACTGTTATCCACCTGCCTCTGCCTCCCGAGCGCTGGGATTAAAGGCATGTGCCACCACACCTAGCTGAGAATTATTTGTTTTTAAAGAGCACCTTTAAGTACATTTTAATTTTGAAACACACCTTTCACGATAGGCTACTTAAAAATTCATGTGCAATGCAACCTAAGGAAATATGACAAGTAATTTGTAGGAAACGCAGCTACAGAATGTCGACTCCCTACTGTTAACTATGAACCAATCATGCACTTGAAGCTGGAAGGAACTTTAAGACGGGATCATTTTTCAGTAAGGGTGTCAAAAGCAATCTATACCAGCTTGGCATGGGAGCCGAAACTGATAAGCTGCCTTTCTGACATTAAAACAGCTCCTTTGCAGGCTATCTAAGCCCCTGGCAGTAATCTAACAAGATCTTAGTTTCGGCACCGGAGTGTCTGCTTTCTCTGGGTGTTCAAAACAGCACTGAATGAAGATCTGGATGTTGGCTCCAACTGCTAGGCACTGGCTGCGAGATGGTTAGAATAGTAAGGGGCCCTGGGGAGGGTGTAAGTATTTCCATCCTATTGGAGTAGGGGACTCGACTGTATCGGTAAAGAAGTTGGTCACAGAGGCTCGGGACTGCCTAGTGTTTTGTGGGAATGACAAACCTGCATAGGCCAAAAAGGTGATGAGTGCAGCCAGCAGGTGGATGCGAAGCTTGGTTCGGACCTCCTGGAAGTGCAGTAGAGCGCTGTGGAAAATAAAGGAGCAGATGGCCTCTGTGATGATCGCTTTGGACATGTCCGTGTGGATGGGATTCTTGCAAGCTAAGCTCCTCTCGTTGAAGTGGTACTTGGTCAGACTCAGGCTCCACAGGGCGCTTATGCAGTACCTGCTGCATAGGGCGCTAACCAGCTGAGCCAACAACCTCATGGCACCCGTTTCGGGGGACATACCCCCCAGAATCATCTGCATCATCACGCCGCACGGGTTGCTAGCTGTGCCCACCAGGGTCAGGCCATGCACCAAGGAGAAGAAGTAGATCAGTGTCAGCGTCCAGGTGGGGTGCGCGGGGTCCTGCTCGCTCAGCAGTTGGAGCTCATGGGTGCAGCAGCAGAGCTGGAAGGTGGCTAGAAACTCCAGGACGAAGGCGTGGGCCGTGGGCCTGTGCAGCTGCTGCCGGGCGATCACGCGGGCCAGCCCCATGAGCAGCACGACCAACAGCATCAGCCCCAGCGAGGTGCAGGTGTCCTGCACCTCGGGCCGGAGCCCCAGGAGCGCGGACATGGCTCCCTTTGGCCAGGGATAGCTGAGGGCGTCAGGGAAAGCCGAGCGTCGGGGGCCGGAGTCCGAAGTCCGCGGCTCCGCCCTCCCACGCCCCTCAGGGCGGGCCGAGCAGAGAGCCCCGGTTCCGCGCTGGAGGGCTCCTCCCCTCCCCGGCTGCGCTGTGGAGATGTGATCGGAGCCGGGGAGGGGGGGAGGCGAGGCGGTGAGGGAGCTGTCCCTGGGTACCGGCGGAGGGGGCAACGGTCAGCAGAGCCCCACGTGTACCCGCCCTCGGCCGCCTCCCTAGCCTGGGACCGCGGCCCGAGACCACTGCGCAGGCGCGCGGCGTGCAAGCTCCGCGCTCCAGGAGACCGGACCCGGAGCCTAAGACCCCGCGGCGCTGCTGGCAGCGCCTGTTGCACCCGGAGCGTGGCTTGGGAACGCCACCTTGAACTTTGCGCACTCCGGAAACTGTACTCCGCGGAGCTCCAAAGGTCATCTCTGCAACCTCCCCGTTTTTACTAATAGAGAGGCTGAGGTTGAGGAGCGAGGAGGTGGTCCTCAAGGAAGGAACTGAGATTCACTAGGAGTGGGCGCGAGAACCGAGGTTTGACCTGTGCGACGGGGTGTCGGAGCCTTGACTTTCTTCACCTACCCCAAAACTCTTTGTAAGTGAGATTTATATGTGTATATATATATATATATATATATATATATATATATATATATATATATACACACACACACATTTTTTCCTGTGCAGTCGATTGTTAATTATATTCACACTATTATCCAGCTATCATCGCAATTTCCAGACTTTGAATGCTGGGTCTCGTTTTTTTTTTTATCCCATGCATTTGTTTAATTACTTAGTTATTTTATTTATATATATATATATATATACATTTATATATGTTTACATATAAGTACATTTATGGAGGCACTGTACCCCAGTTATTGTGTGGCCCAAGGACCACTTGTTCTCTATCTCTCTCTCTCTCCACTGGTGGGTCCCAGGAATCAAATTCAGGTCCTCAGAAAGCACCTTTGCCTGCTGAAGCGTCTTGCCTGCAGGTAGTGGTTCTCAGGCATGAAGCCCTTTATAATGCCTTTGTGATCTTCATCGTGAAATAGTAAAATACTTTTTTTTTTTTTTTTTTTTTTTTTGGTTTTTCGAGACAGGGTTTCTCTGTGTAGCTTTGCTCCTTTCCTGGAACTCACTTTGGAGACCAGGCTGGCCTCGAACTCACAGAGATCCGCCTGGCTCTGCCTCCCGAGTGCTGGGATTAAAGGCGTGCGCCACCACCGCCCGGCTGTAAAATACTTTGAAATCATTTTTTGCTTATTCTCATTGGCGTCCAGTGTGGGAAGGAAACCCGGAGTAGAACCTTGGAGTGGTCCACTTTGCAGAGTCCTAAGATATTGGACCAGGCAGATCAGCGTAGGACATAGCTCAACTTTCCTGGACCCTGCGATAAATCTCCTGTGGTTGTGAGTTAATCCCCCAAAAATTCCCTTGCTCATTAAATAGACTCTGTGGATTAATCCCATTATACAACCTTCCTCCTTCCCTAGCTGTAAACCTACAATTTCCTAGTTATCTCATGAGAAACTCCATCTAGTGAAAGACATATCTTAGCTCCCTTGCATACATAGCCTTTGTGACCCAGGGTTTTACCTTATCAGATTGCAATCCTATCCACAACATCTTACGAACCACTCTATAATCATATTTTAAATAAGGGTGTGTGTGTGTGTTAGGAAGGAACCGTTCCTTACACTTGGAGAATGGAATTCCAAAAGCCTCTAAAATCACCATACAGTTGTGACTGAGCCATGTAACTACAGTTCCTGAGAAGCACAGACCCACACGAGGTTGCCCGCCGTCCTCTCCCTGATTGCCTTTCTCCTGATGCCTGAACTTAAGTCTGCATAAACAAAATCTCTCCTTCACAAACTCCAACTCGATTCACACCAACTCATCCTGAAATTCTTTTCTGCATTGAAAAATCCTGGATTTGAGGCTGTGTGGTAGCACACACCTTAATCTTAGCCAAAGCAGGCAGAACTCTGTGAGTTCAAGGGCAACCTGGTCTTCATGGAGAAATCCTGTACCACCCACAACCCCAAATCATTCCAGTTTCATCTAAGCAGGATGTCTGGAAAGAACCCCTCAGGCTTCTTTTTTTTTTTTTGAGACAGGGTTTCTCTGTGTAGCTTTGCACTTTTCCTGGAACTCACTCTGTAGCCCAGGCTGGAATTCACAGAGATCCGCCTGCCTCTGCCTCCTGAGCACTGGGATTAAAGGCATGCGCCACCACCGCCCAGCTCCTCTTAGGCTTCTATCAACAACAGCGTGGAGCTTTATCCCCTCCCACACCCAGTGACCCCTGATTGGTTTCAGAAATCATGAAAACTCCTTAGCACCGGGCAAGAAGTATTTAGTGAGTGGTAGCTTGAAACTGAAACTTCCTATTTTAACAGCCCGAGTCCAAGAGTCCGTGCCAACACCACACTCCCAACAACTCAGCCACTTGGGCGGCCCACAGTGAGTGAGGAGTGGAAGAGAGCTCTTGGGTCTCCTCAGACCCTGTACCTAACAATGTTCCGAACTGATACAAGGCTGCCCTGCTTGGCTTCCTTAGGAGGGTCCACATTGCTAAGCACGATCCTGCCTCAATCTTGTCCCACGTGGCTCCATCACCCACAAGTCCACAGTTCATAGAGCTGAGAGGGGGAGGGGAGGGGAGTGGGGGAAGGTGAGCTTCTCTATAGTTTTATTTCTCAGTCTCAACTTGCCCTTTTATAACCTAATGAAAATTCCCAGACTGTAGTCCACACCCGTTACCCCACCATGCTGGTGGCTGAGGCAGGAGGATTGCCTCAAATTTGCAGGACAATTCCCTTTTAATGCTAAGATTCTGTGATGCCAGTAGGAAGAGAAAAGGTTATTTCATAAAATACAAGTTATGTAGAGAAATGAAGCCCGTTCCTCTTTGCTGGGTTTATGCCAGAGCCAAAGAATTTAGGGTAAGTGAAAGCCAATCCTTAGCCACCGCTGTCGGGAGTTTAAAACCACCCCTGTGAGCTTAAGCCCCCTTGAGGATTAGTTATGTGAATGCGCCCATTTCCTGCTGTGCTGATAAGTCACTTCTGCTAGTAAGAGCCCTATAGAAAATCTGTCTTTTGGACTTTGGTAAGGATTTAAAAATCATCATCATATACATTGTCATTAAATAGACTTTGGACTTTGTTTCAATTAAGAAATAAGAGCCAGCCAGGCGGTAGTGGCACACACGCCTTTAATCCCAGCACTCGGGAGGCAGAGCCAGGTGGATCTCTATGAGTTCGAGGCCAGCCTAGTCTACAGAGTGAGATCCAGGACAGGCACCAAAACTACACAGAGAAACCCTGTCTCAAAAAAACAAACAATAAAAAAAGAAAGAAAGAAAGAAAGAAAGAAAGAAAGAAAGAAAGAAAGAAAGAAAGAAAGAAAGAAAGAAAGAAAGAAGGAAGAGCCAAATAAACTTCAGAGATTAAGCTGCGCCTGCCCTGCTCTGAGTAATTCCGTATTGTATAAAACAGTGGCTTTCAGGCTGTGCTTTGCCCTGGGTGACTGCATTTCACAAGTTCCATTTGGGTGCATTTTGAGTGCAAATACAGAGGTAAATAGCTTTGTATCTCGTGCACACAGACCTGTCCAGCCCCATGAGGCACAGACTGATAATTTTCTTTAAAATATTTAGTTTTATTTTATGTATATGAATGTTTGCCTGCATGTATGTACATCACATGTATGTGGAGGCCAAATAAGGCATCAGATCCCCTAGAACTGGAGTTATGGATAGTTGTAAACCTCTATGTGGGTGCTGGGAATTAAACCCACATCCTCAACAAGAACAGGAAGTACGCTTAGCCACTGAGCCACCTTTCTGGCCCCTAATCATTCGTTATTTTTCTGATTTCTTTTTTGAGACAGGATCTCTCTGTTATGTGACTCTGGCTGTCTTGGAACTGTGACATAGACCAGGCCGGCCTCCAACTCACAGATCCACCTGCCTCTGCCTCCTGAGTGCTGGGATCATGGGCATGCGCCACCACTGCCCGGCCTAATCACTTATTCTTAAAAGATGTCAGCTCTAAAAAAGTAAAGTGGGAACATATTAGCACATGGGCATATTAAAACCGTATCAGAGAGCTGATTCTCAGCTGCCTCAGTGGGCTCACAATGCCTGTAACTCCAGCTCTAGGGGCTCATACACCCTCTTCTGCCTTCTGTGGGTACCTGCACACACAGCATATATTCACACAGACACTCACCCAATATACATTAGTAAAAATAAGTATTTAGCCGGGCGGTGGTGGCGCACGCCTTTAATCCCAGCACTCGGGAGGCAGAGGCAGGTGGATCTTTGTGAGTTCGAGGCCAGCCTGGTCTACAGAGAGAGATCCAGGAAAGGCGCAAAGCTACACAGAGAAACCCTGTCTCAAAAAACCAAAAAAAAAAAAAAGTATTTAAAGCCACATCAGAAAAACCAGACCATAGAACTTATCAAACATACCAGTCTGACAGCAGATAGAACACCGTGAACTCTATAAAAAGGAGGACACCTAACGTTGCTGTGGCAACGGCCCCATCAACCTATCATCTGACTGCATGGTGTGTGCATCCAGGGACTGGTAGGCATAGAACTCCTTACTGTGCCAAACTTCACCTCGGCTTGGTACCCTCTGCTTGATGCAGCCCACTAGTGCTGCTGTCTGTCCATCTCTCCATCTATTCATCTGTCTGGACCTAGTCCTATACCTGGCCTTCATGGTTCTGCCTCCGGGCAGCTCAGCTGGGTTGTTTGGTTGCTCTCCATCTGGGTTTGGTAGTATCTTATCTAACAATGGCTGTCTGTATCAGCTCTCCACCTCCACTTCTGGTAATGCCTCTTTGAACTCCAGTGAACTGGGACTCTTTTAAGCCCTTTGTAACCATTTTGTGACCTACATTGTATGGATAGATAGAGATGCGATTACTGTGATGTTTAATGTGTGATTTGAGAGTCAATAGTAGTAATTAATATCAAGTATAACAGGCATAGTGGGTACAACTGTAATCCCAGCACTTGAAGCAGGGTATCAAAAGTTGAAGGTCACCTTTGGCTACATGAGACTCTTTCAAAAATAACTAAATAAGGCCAGGCGGTGGTGGCGCACGCTTTTAATCCCATCACTCGGGAAGCAGAGCCAGGAGGATCTCTGT